TGTAAAATATTGAATTTAAAATAATAACAAAAAGTGTTTTTATTTGACTTTTGAGTTTTTCTTTTCTTCTTTGTTTCTCTACGTCAATATTTCACTTAGTACCCAATACTCCTAGCGCTAAAAAATTATTTTTTTTTTTGGTTCATTCTATATATTTTTTTAGATTCCAAATATTATTTATTTAATTATAAATAAATATTATTAATCAATCAAATTATTTACTTTGAACAATTAAAATGAGATTAATTCTATTAATTTCTTTCGATTTTGTATGCAAAACGATTTATTTACTTAATACTTAGAAATTGACGCGTAGAAAATTGGCAACCCAGCAAGTGGTAAAAAAATATTACAGAAGAGAGTTTGAAATATAAAAAGCTTTGGCTGGTGTTGCGTTGAAAATCCAGACGGCTCGCAGAAAATTGGCAACAAGGCAAATATAAAAAGAGAAATAACATGTGTAGTGAAAATTCTACGTTGAAAATTGGCAACATTGCAAATTTTAATAAGAAATGATAAACCAAAAAGTCTTTGAGGCGAATCGGCAACATTGCAAAATATTGGAAACATTGCAAATATTAAAAGAAAAGTAAAAGTTATAACAGAAAGTTTTTAGAGAAATTTCGCAAATATTAAAAAGTATTAACCCAAATGTTCTTTGGAGGAATTCGGCGACATGACAAATACTAAAAAAAAAATTAAAAGCTACCCAGCACGTCTTCTGTGTAAATTGGCAACGTTGCAATTATTACAGCAGCAATAAAAAGCGCGGAGAAAATTGTAACATTGGAAATATTATTTAAAGTGATTTTAATTCAATAACCAAAGTCAAGCAACTTGTTGGTGGAAAATTGAGCATTTGCATATTATATATATATATATACGTGTATATATATATTAAAGGATAAATAATAAGTTTTGGCTGATTTTGGTTATACAAAAATTTTATATTTTTTTTTCGAAGTGCTCTCGTTGAATTTAAAGAAAATGCTAATGAAGAGCAAAAAATCAAACAATTCATGGAAAATTGGCAACTTTGCAAGTATCAAAAGAGAGAGAGCTATATAAAAAGCTAGTAAAATAAAAGTTGAGTAAGAGTAAACAAATATATCTCAAATTTTTTTCTTCCAACGTGATCGCTGAAAACTTGCAACGTTGCTACTCCGGTTTTATTAGGAAAGTGTAATAATTACAAAATTACTAAATTTTTAATTAAACATGCAGCATTGCGGGAGAGTGTCTCATACGCGCTTTTCCCTGCCTTTTTCTCATTATGAGAATAAATTCATTTAGAAAATTTCTCAAAAACTGCTCTTTTGACTTTTGCTGTTTTCGCCGTACCCACTGGCCCATAAATGTAGCGGTAAATATTTGAATTTCATCTGAAGCAAAAGTGGAAACAAAAACTCGAAGTTGCCTTGAAAAAAAACCACTTTGTCGACGAGATCAGTTTTCTGGAGCGAGTTTTGTTTACTGAGTGACTTTAAATTCGTCGGAGAGCCTTTGAGGGGACCTGTGGATAGCGTTATTTATAATAAGTTTTTTCTTCATTATAATGGAATTTCTTTAATTCTTTCTCTGTTTCCTTTTTCCTCGCAGTCTATATAACAGTTCTTTTTGCTAATGATTTTCTTGAAACGTTTCGAACCAAACAAATCACAAATAAGTTAAAAAATGTTTTAATAGATATTTTTTTAGAAATTTTTATACTTATGTTCATATATATATATTGCTTAAAATAATTGTTTTTAATTTCTTATTTTTAATTTTTTTAAGCCAATTATTTTTTATTAAACAAAAATAGCTCTTTCATATTTAAATAATTTTACTCAAAAAAAAAATATATATATATACATACAAATAAGATAAATATATTAAAGAAAAGGAAAAAAATTACAAATTGTGAAATTCTTATGCTTAAGTGTATTAGTATGATAGTGAATATAATTAAATAATATTAAATAATTAATTAATATGTAATATAGTGGTTTTCACCGAGTTGTTAAATGTTTTGTGATTTTATATTTCTGATTTCTGATGTCTTATGAAACACATTAAAAAAAAATATAACTGAAAATTTCCAAAAAAAAAAAAAAACAAAAAGTCAAAACACAATTTATGAGTTAATGCAAACAAACAAGGTTTATGTAGATGTTGAATAGAATTTTTGCAGTACTATTCAGATCTGATGCTGACGAAGCCATTGGTGCTACAATAATTGCTAAAAAACCCAAAAGGCGAGTATCTAAGCACCTTACCGTGCGCAGATTACATACATAGGTAAATATATGTATAATATACAGAATTATATATATGCATACATATGTAGTAGATAATAAACGAGTATATATACATATATAATGTATTAATTAATTAAAGCAGCAATGATGATAATAAATAAATACAAATACATACACTTACACTTAAATACATACATATATGTATGTATAAATATGTATTCAAATATATGCATAGTGTGATAAAACTATGTTTGTAAATTTTTTTCCTTTCAATATGAATGATTTGGCAAAAATTAAAAACAAAAAAAAAATATGTGTACAACAAAAAAAGGATTTATTAGTGTAGATTTTTTCTTCCCTTTCGCTTAAATGATTAAGTATTAAATTATTAAATATTAAATAATAATTATTATAATTAAAAAAAAAAAACAAAAAAAAAAAATGCCACAAGCAACCCAAAAAAAAAAAAATTCAATTATAATGATAACAAAAAAAAAAAACAAAAAAAAAATAAATAAATTCGAAGAAAAATGTGTAAACGTTAGTTATTGCATATACAACAAAAAAGAACTAAAACAAAAAATGTAAATGTCATTTAATATAAAGAAATACGATTAAATTTAATGATGAAGCAACAATAAACGTGATCATAAGCATAGAATAAATTCAAACCTAAATGCAAAAATAAAATACAAATACAACAAATTGTTTTTCAATTTATAATTCCACTGAAGGCACTCTTGCAACGCTACGGCTTTGGAAATCATCAAAAAAATTTGAATTTAAATTTAAATAATTTTTATTGCTAAATGCCTTTGCATTAACTCAACATTGAAGGTTAGCTGGTCTGCCAACCCTAGAACATGCAACATACAATTGTCCAACTGCGAAGCAAACCGTATCTAAATGTAGACCACACAATTCCGTGGATTCACCCTGAGCTGTTGTTTGACATGAAAAATGCCCTTAACTCGGCATATTGGCCGCACATTATGAGCGCATTAGAGGAACGGAATACTCCAGCGTATCTGCTGAGGATAATTAATAGGTATCTGTCTGACAGACTGCTATTGTATGATTCCGAGTCAGCGCCAAAAAGCTACGTAGTGACAGCAGGCGCACCGCAGGGATCGGTACTTGGTCCGTTGTTGTGGAATGTCCTGTATGATGGGGTGTTACGTCTACCGCTACCAAACGAAGTTCATATAATTGGCTCCGCGGACGACATCGCTGTGACGATTGTTGAGAAAGCGCACATGCAATGAGGCCATAGAAACGATGAAGAACTGGCTCACTACGTCTAGGCTATAACTTGCTGGAGAAAAAACAGAAGCTGTTCTTATCACGAGCAGGAAACAACTTGAAGTGGTCACCCTGGATATCGATGGTTATAGCGTTACAATGCAAAACTCACTGAGGTACCTTGGAGTAATGATCGATGCAAGACTGAATTTTAAGGCACACATTGAAAATGCCTGCAGTAAGGTGGCCTTAGTGACTGCGGCGCTGGCGAGAATCATGGCCGACATAGGTGGCCCTAGGCATAATAGAAGAATTCTACTAGCTAAAGTTAGCCTGTCAATACTAATGTATGCAGCTCCTGGGGAAAGGTTCTGCGTCAAAAAACCAGGCTATGCGGCATTAGAGTTACCTGTGCGTTTAGGACGGTGTCGCATAAAGCGGCCAGCCTTATGCCGCCAGATATAAAATCTTCGGAGCACGGCAGAGTATATCAAAAGATAAAAGCCGAAAGTAGGCGCCTAACAGCCGTCAAGCGTAAGAGAGAGAAAGAAATGATACACGGCAGAAACTGGAAGGTGTACCAATAGGCTCATTAAGAACCTACCAGCCGGGATTAAGAGAGAACACGGAGAGACAGACTTCTACCTGATACAGTTCTTGTCAGGCCATGGCTGTTTCAGGGAATATCTTCACAGATTTGGTCACGATGACGAGACTGAATGTGCCGCAGAAAATGTGGAGCATAACTTCTTCTTCTGCTTGAGTTATGAAGTGGAGAGATCCACTATAGAGCAGATGATAAATGCAAGGATGACGCCCGACAACATTGTGAGTCACCTGCTGCAATCGAGGTTGGTGTGGGCTAAAATGAAGAAACGGGCCGCGATAATATTTCAAGAAATTAGTGTTCCATTTTCATTTTCAGCTTGGAGAAGTATTGTCTGCATAAATTCAGCATACTTTGAACATCAATTGGGTACAAAATGAGTTTGTTTCGATCTTGAAACCTTCTGTAAGTCGACGCATCTTTTCTTAGAACTTTCGATAATTACCTTCGTCAGCTATCTTCTCGAGCTCCTCAAACTGACGCATCTCGGTCTCTTTCTTTTTTGTTTGCACAGATCGTATTTCCCCTTCGCTTATTCGGTGTAATAAAAAATCCGATTGGGAATTTTTCAGTCAAAAGAAAATCCAGGAAATAGCGACTGCACAGCTAAACATTTTCTTAAATATTTCCTCAACACTTTCACCAAAAAAAAAAAAAAAAAATACATACATACATACAACAATAATTGAACAAATTAAATTAATTAAAAATGCTCTTTATATCGTCAACGCGAGTGAAAGGCAGATAAAAGGGCAATTTTAATATATCAAACACGCCCACTCGAAATCAAATACGAAAATGCCTACTGAGTTTGACTATAAATACGAGGCAGCAGTTGAGGTGAGCCAGTTTTTCGTGATATTTTTGTTAAAAGAAAATTATAAAATCTAGAAAACGGACACACGTTCAGCATGCTTTTCAATCCCAAACCGCTAAAGGATCCAGTCAACTTTAAATTTCCACTGCAATGCATCTGGTTAAAGCTGAATGGCTCCTGGCCAGTAAATTCGAAAACCTCGAGTTCATTTAAAAATTATTGTCGTTTTTTATATAGTCTGTGGGCGTGGTATGTGGTGGCTATGGTTGGCATAACCATCGGTTTTCAAAGTGCTTTTCTCGCGAAATCGTTCGGTGATATTATGGTTACCTCGGAGAATGGCTGCACCACCTTCATGGGTGTGCTGAATTTCGTGCGTCTGCTGCATTTACGACTACATCAGCGGGATTTTCATCAATTGATTGCGCAATTCGTTAAGGATATTTGGATAACGAAGTATGTGCTTTGACAAAATATATTTGTATATTTGAAGAGTTAGAGAGCGGTGAAAAATATTTAGTCTTTCAAGAAATAATGGGAACTCTTCAATGTCCCAGCAAAATATTCTTAACCTCAAAAGAAAATATGTATATTTTCTTAACCCACAGATCTACACATCCCGCCGTGGAGCAGTCTTGTGCGCGCACGATGCGTGTATTTCAAGTAATCTCTGTTCTGCAATCCTGTCTCATTACCATGTACTGCATACTGCCGCTCGTCGAACTTTATATGCTGAACGCCAATTTGGATCAAGAGAGTTTGGCGCACATCGATAAACCCTTTCCGTATAAAATGCTATTCCCCTACGATGCCAATCATGGTTGGCGTTATGCGCTCACCTATTTATTCACAGCTTGGGCTGGTGTCTGCGTGGTGACCACACTGTTCGCCGAGGATTCATTGTTCGGCTTCTTTGTCACCTACACTTGTGGCCAATTTCGTATTCTACACACCCAGATCGATAATATCATACCAGCAGCGTATGCAGCGACGCGCGCTGGCCGTGGCACGGAAGCCGATTATCAACGGGAATGTGTACGACGGCTGGACAAGATTGCTGGCAAGCATAGCATATTATTTAAGTAAGTAAATGGAGGTAGAGATTTAGAGAATATGGAAAAAAATTTGTGAAAAAAAATTATTATTTCACTCCGCAGCTTCGTTAGTCGCATGGAAGAGTTCTTCAGTCCAATTTTCCTTGTGAATTTTTTAATTTCAACGGTTTTAATTTGCATGGTGGGCTTTCAATTGGTGACGGTGAGTAGGTTATATTTCGTATATTAATTAAAGTGTTTTTAATTTCCTAATGAATAACAAATTTCGACAATAAACGTGTGGATGGCATTTCGTGCCGCAGCCATTCTAAAGGTCAGGGTTCGAGCCCTGCTTCTTGCAACGTCAGAATCGTAGAAAATTATTTTTTTAGCCGGGGTCGCCACTCAACAGGGAATGCCAAGCCATCCGAGTGTATTTGTGATAACAAGAAAACTCTTCATAAAAATCCAGCAGCCGCGCGGAGGCGTGATCTTTTCATGGAATAAACTAACTTTGGTCTGTCATATAGAATTGAAATCTTCGACCAGTTTCCCAGTATAGTATGGGTTTTTGAAACTTTTGAATGAAAATTTTTCCAAAAAGATTGATGGTTTCGTTGCTTGTGTGAATTCTTGTTGAAAGTAAACGTTGTCGGTTGTCCGACCATAAAAAATTATTAATAATCTCTAGATAACGCAATCCATTAATTTTTGAAATTTTCGAAAAAGTATGGTCCAATGGAAGACTTAGGAAAGTTCTATCCAAGAGCTCCGCCATACCAAACTGTATTGAAAAACCGGCTGAGGAATGGAAGAAATTCTGTATACTCTCAAGAGCTCTCATTTTCCGGGATGTTCCATCGATTACGACCAAACCCCATGTTTGGAAGGTGAGCATATCTCTGATATAGCAGCTTGTATGCTCTAGACAGACGGTATTGGGTACAAAGTCATTTCAGCCATTTAAATCTTCACCACTAGATGGTATCTTTCCCGTCGAACTACAGAGAGCTGAGGACCTCTTATTCTCACTCCTACGCAAAATTTACGAGTTCTGTCTGCGTGAAGGATTAGTGCCAAGGTAATTTTTATCTACCCCCAGGGAGAATATCGAGGAAGAAACATGCGTACTCTAAGAGTCGTCAGTCTGTCGATACAGCCCTGCATGATTTAGTTGGATGCAGACTCGCCCTGAAAGAATATAAGCTCGGTATATTCTTCGACATTGAAGAGGCGTTCAACAGTATTTTTCCTGTATTTATAACAGATGCTCTTCACGAATTGGGTCTTCAACAGCCCATAGTGAATCTTGAAGTGTCTTTTTTGGGAAACAGAATCATTTTCGGAGAGATGGGCAGCGCCAGCATTACCAGACACACTATAAGAGACACCACTCAAGGAAGAGTTTTATCGCCACTGCTGTGGTGTCTAACAGCAAACATGCTCGGGCTGTGTTGTGTTGGCGTACCCTGACGACTTTGCTCTAACAGCGATAGGTAAACACCTACAAACTTTAAAAGATCTACTCCAAAATGCTCTATACCTTATTGGGAACTCGTGCAAGGATAGCTGACTGGACGTTAACCCAGATAAAACCGAAATGGTTGTATTTAGCAGTAGTTACGCACCGACTACTTTTAAGCAACCTAAACTAAAGGGCGAAGTAATATGTCTCTAGATAATCTTAGATACCAAACTCAACTGTAGCCGGAACACGGCAGTAAGTTCTAGGAAAGCTACAACTGCACTTTACGCCTGCTAAACGGCGATAGGAAAAAGATGAGGTCTGTCAAATTGTAATGCTACCACGTCAAAAGTGGTTATAAAATGTAGATATTTTCTTAACAAACTCTCAAATAAATATATCGCTGCCTGGGTACATGGACACAGAAACATCCCAGGCAATTGAATAGCAGACGAACTAGCAAGGGAAGGGACCCTTCTACACACTATAAAACATGCACACGATGCTGGTTTAACTCTGTCCACGGTAAAATACATGCTTAACTGGCCTTTACCAGGGAAGCCGACTCAAAATGGTTTAATGAGATACCGTGCAACATGATCAGACAGCTATGGCCCAAGCTAGACGCGAAAAAAACATCTTATCATGTTTAATAGAGCTTCACGGAATGATTTTTGCCGCAGCTGCAGGGAAAAAGAAGAGGGGAGTCTGTTGAGCACTACACTGTCTGTTCTGATTGCAGCTTTTCAACGTCGAGCTTTTCTTGTGTTGGTTGACGGGCGCTCTTCGATACACAGAGGCGCGTGCGTATCCGCGATCCGAGTCGATGTTAGGACCAATGAACGTACGCAGATCTAAAACACTGCAGACACTAACCACAACATGATCGATCAGTTTGTGAGTTCTTCGATCTGGAGACAGCCAAGTAACTGGGTGAATTGACAACCATATTACGGTCCCGGCGAATTCGATCCGCCTCAGCCTATTTGGGGATGTCTCGTCACGTCACGTCACGTGGAAGTCGCGAAGCACAATTTCGACGTCGAGGCGGTCAGCGCCCATAAGTGTTCTCGCTCGTAAAAAGCATCTTTGGTCCAGTCATCCATCTCTTTCCTCCGGATTGTGGCCAGACGTTAATCCACCGAAGTGAATGCCAGTACTCGGCTGCGGAGTCTCTCTTCCACCACGAATCCGGCACCAAATTTTCGCTTCTTTATATGGCCACTGTAGTAAATTTCACAAGGACCCACCTTCTTCCGTCCTTGTCGCGTCCATCGCATTTCTTGGACGACGGTGATATTAGATTTTAACTTTATGAGGACATCAACCAGCTGAGCAGCAGCACCATCCCAATTAAGGGACCGGACATCCCAGATGCATGCCCTGAAACCGTTCTCCTTAAAACATTTGCCGTTGTAGTCATCAAAAGTGGGGTCTCCCATCCGAGGCTGATTCAAATTTTTCATGTGGTAGGTCCCAGACCCTACGCACAACCGCATGGGACTCGCCCTCACCCTTTAGCGCGCCTCTAAACGGATGTTTGTTGGCTGCCCAGGGGATGCGTGGTCCAAGACCGGAAGTAGTGAGCTCCTAAAGAATCGTTTCCGGCCACTCCAAGGTGAATGGCAGTCAAAAACTTTCTTCACTCGCGTGAACCTCTTGCTCATGCCCCATTGGGGCTTAATAATATTCATAAAATTAAAAAAAAAAATATTTATTTAATATTTTCTAAAATTTGTTTAACACTTTCTACTTTTGTAACTTTCTTTTGCAGGGTAACAACATGTTTATTGGGGATTATGTGAAGTTTTTGGTTTATATCCTCTCTTCACTCTCACAACTCTTTGTACTTTGCTGGAATGGTGACAAAATTATTCAAAATGTTTGTACTTATTTAGTCGATGGAATATTGTTGTTTACATCATTGTTGTTGTTTTTGAAATTCTACTACTTTTTTCGAATATTACATTCTCTGTTAATATAAGTTTTTTGTTTTTGTTTTCGTTTTTTTTTTTGTTTTTACATTTCCACTTAAGATCTGCACGACTCATTTCGTTTATGGTGGAGCTTTTAGAAAGTCTATGGGCCATTCACAAAGATCACTCCAACGAAGGTGACTCTATCAACGGCCCAGCATTTGCACGTAAAGAGTCGGTCAATGGAAACTGCACGTAACGAAGTGAGAACGGTAATCACGCAAAAGAAAAGGGAATAGTACACAATGGCTCTATTTACCTTAGTTGGAATTATCCGTTGTATTTCAAATATTCACCGTTAAGCTTTATAACTGTTTGCTTATTTGAAAGCAATATTCTTCTGCCTTTCTTATGGAAACCACTGTCTTTATTGGCAAAAGATTGCGGCAATCGATTTTTACAGTCCTCCCTAGAGGCCGATTCCCCAACAGCCAAAGCATTCGCCATTAACAGGAACAGATGGTAATCACTATGTGCGAAGTTGGGGCCTGAAGGTGAATACTTAAGAATCTCCCAACTAAGCTCTCTGAACTTCTGTCCTTTTCGATACGTATGGTCTGGCGTTGTCCTGGGGAACACAAATGACCTGCTTTTGACCAATGCTGGGAGTGCCCAGAAGTGTCTGGGCGATTGCTATAGCTATAGCTATAACAGATTTAACAAAATTGCGTCATTCCTTTCGTTTCGTACAGCCAGTTACTTCTCTATCTGGTCTTTCCAACGAAGTGGAGGTCTTCCTCTTCCTCTGCTTCCACCGGCGGGTACTGCATCGAAAACTTTCCAAACTGGAATATTCGCATCCATCCGGACCACGTTACCTCCGCTGCTTGTTGATTCGCTGTACTATGTCAATACCATCGTATAGCTCGTACAGCTAATCGTTCCATCGCCTGAGATATTAAGTCTTACGCAAAACCTTTCTCTCGAAAACTCCTAACGCCGTCTCACCAGATGTTGTCATCGTCCATGCTTCCGCACCATATATCTGGGCGGGAACGTGAGGGACCTGTAGAATTTGGTTTTCGTTCGTCGGGAGAGGACTTTACTTTTCAATTGCCTGCTCAGCCGAAAGTAGCACCTGTTGACAAGAGTGATTCTGCGCTGGATTTCGAGGCTGACATTATTCTTGCTGTTAATGCTGGTTTCTAGATAGACGAAATTATCTACGATTTCAAAGTTTTGGCTGTCAACAGTGACATGGGAGCCATATCGCGAATGCGATAACTATTTGTTTAATGACAGGAGATATTTCGTCTTGACCTCGTTCACTACCAGACACATTCGCTTCGCTTCTTCCGATAAAGTCAATATCATCGGCGTACACCAGTAGTTGTACACTCTTATAGAAGATTTTACCTTCTCTATCCAGCTCTGCAGCTCTTATTGTTCTCTCCAGCTTCAAATTGAAGAAATCGCACGACAAAGAGTCACCCTGTCTGAAACCTCGTTTGGCATCGAACGGCTCGGAGAGGTCCTTCCCAATTCTGACTGCGCTTCTGGTGTTGTCCAGCAGCAGCTTACACACCCGTACAAGTTTTGCGGGAATACCAAATTCAGACATCGCGACGTAAAGGCAGCTAGCTCCTATTCGTGCTGGCGAAAGCGACCTTAAAATCGACGAAGAGGTGATGGGTGTCGCTCCTCTTTTCACGGGTCTTTTCCAAGATTTGTCGCATGGTGAATGTCTGGTCAATGGTGACTTACCAGGTCTGAAGCCACACTGATAAGGACCAATCAGTTTGTTGACGGTGGGCTTCAGTCTTTCACACAATACGCTCGACAGGACCTTTTAGGCGATATTAAGGAGGCTTATCTGGCGGTAATTGGCGCAGACTGTGTTGTCCCCTTTTTTATGGATTGGGTAGAGCACATTTAAGTTCAAATTGTCGGACATGCTTTCGTCCGACCATATTTTGCAAAGTCACTTTAAAATTGGTCCTTAACAAGATTTTGTTTTTATTTCATTTCTTGAATATTTAATTTTGCAGAAAACTTATATTTTTCAAAAAAAATATATATTTATGTTTATATAGAAACTAGGTTTTGAAATTTAAAAAATTTGAAGTTTTCGAAGATATTAAATTAATTGTTCGCAAAATGAAAAAAAACAGACAAATTCATTTTTCAACTTGATTTTTATTAACTAAAACAAATTTTCTTTAACTTCATTTATTTAAATATTATTAGTCTGAGTAATCTTAGCATAAATAATGCACACTAATTCCAGAATTCAAGCCATAAAAGTAAAAGAGATATGAGAATTCAAATACAGCAAATATTGCGGTGTCAATTAAATGTTTGCATTTTGTAAACAATTATTGTAAATATAATTGCAATTGTGAAAATATAGCAGTGTTGGCGCTAATATTTGGTATGATAGGCATTTGTATCTATAACAGGGCATGGACTGAATAAGGTTGTTTAAGTCATAATTTTCAGGTCTTCATGAATGACCTTAATAAGAGCGTTTTTAGTTGAGCTCCGTTTGCCCACTCGCTTCTTTAGAAAAGCCCATAAGTTTTCTTTGGGGTTTAAGTGAGGCCTCTGTTCAGAAGTGTCAATCACTTTACTGCAATTATATAATAGCCACGTCCTACACAGCAATGATTTATATTTGAGATCGTTATCTTTGTACAGTTTGTACCCTAATTTAGTAGGGGTTTCATGGTCAACAAATTTAAATTTTATGGCACACCTTAACAATTCGTTCTTTAGAATGTCCAAGTAAAGCTCCTTTGCCATCACGTCATTGAAAATTCGGCGTTCACCAACACCTTTCGACAAAATGCAACCCAAAACCATTACAGAAGGCTTACCAAATTTTACTGTTGGAATTATATTTTTCTGTTGCAAAGCTCTGTTGGATTTTCTCCAAACTTTACAGGGTCCATCATGATGGTATAACACTATTTTTGTCTCGTCATAAATAATAACGTCATCCCAGTATTCCGCAGTCATGTAAACATTGGTAATAGTAAAGTTGAGCCGCTTCTCAATATTAACTAACGACAACAATGGTTTCTTTCTAGCTATTTGAGAGGAGTACTTGTGTATTTTTAAGACTTTTCAGATTGTCTCGTGACTCACTGTTTAATGGCAATCATTTTCAATATCTAACGCCAATTTTCTCAGGTTGGTTTGAGGATTATCACTGATCTGCTTTAAAATTTTGAATGATCGCGTCTAGAAAGTTCCGGTGGAATGCTTTAATTCCAAACTAATTTCTTTTTCTGCGCGTTTTATAATGTTATAATTCGTGTCGCTAATTCCTTGGCCGATTTAATATTGTGGTAGTTAAAATAAACTGATAGAATAAGATTTCCATTAGTTCGCTTGCCAGGCATTGTTAAAAGCGCTAAATCATTAAGATTTGAACTGTCCAAAACATTAATCGATTTGAATGTAATAGAGCAACACATTGCTGTGACATACGCGTTCACTCGTTTTACAAATTGTGGTACCGTTAAGCTAACTACGTTTTATTTTGAATTGCGTACGCAATATTTGTCGAATTTAAAATTATTTGTTATTTTTTTAGATTAACAAAACCACTTAATAAAAATAGGAAAATAAAATACTTGCATTTATAAAATAAATTTTGAAAAGAGATTTTTGTGATTTTTACATTTTGCAAAAAATTAATTGAGATACTGTATACACTGTATATACATATATATAAATATATTTAATAATCTTTCCAAAATGTTACATAATTTTCTAAACAAAATTTTTCCTTGTTTACTTGTTGCATAAACATTCATGGACATAAATTGTATTTTTCCTTAAATTGAAATCAATTTTTAAAATTAATTTTTTTTTATGAATTTCAATATTATTTTCATCCCAAATCTATATTCAAATTTTTTCTAAATTTTTTTTTAATTTTTTTTTTAATTTTTTTTTTTAATTTTTTATTTCATTAATTTAATGCTTGATTAATATTATTGGTATCAAAACCAAATAAAATAGTAAAATATATTTTATACGCCGATTTTTGCCATTAGTTATATTTTTATTATTAAAATATATGTACACATAAAGGGTGTTTTTTTAGCTATTAACTAAACTATTGAACATCTTCAGTTTGGTCTATAATTTAACCCGACCGGTAAAAATTAAATAGTGAGAGTTCCTAATAACGTTAATTAAGTGATTTCTATGGCAGATATTTTTTTAATACAAATGTGTTTTTGGTTTTTAAATACGTATATTAACTTGTCACTCTGACTTGTAATTTTAATTTAAAATGAATTTATAAATTATTTGAAAACAATGAAAGTAATGAAATTAATCAGGGGAATCACAATTGAAATCGACAACATTCTTTTCAAGGGATTACACATTCCGATTATTGGTTTTTATATCGGTTTCATTTTCGAAATAGAATTTGTGTCGATTTTATGTGTTACTGAAACCGATTTATCGGTTTAAATGTCAGAAATAAACCGAACAGTTATTCCTTGACAGAATTGTGTGCAAATTTCTTTGCAAGCGGAAATTTAATAAAAAATTAAGTCATGAATATTGGATTTTACAAACAGCAATGTCTGGAACACGGTAGTTGATATAAAAATGTACGCGAGCTCTCCGTTTTCCATTGTCGTTTTTCCCTAAAATTATCCAGCGTGGATAATTCAAGCGTTCCAAAGTCTTTAGCATTTCTGTTTTAACCACAGAGACTGTAGGTCGTGCTAAAGACATATTTGAGTCCCACAGACTGTTAAGAGGATTCTTCAGCCGAAAACCACAGTGTGACTGATAGTTGGAGCACATGTGGGATATATAGCCTATCTAGCTGGTCTTCAATGACATTCAGCACTATTACAAATTATTCATTGTTAAGACGAACAAATTTTGTACCAACAAATGTAAAAGTAGAATGCAAATTGCACTTACATCAACGCTGACAGCTCCGGCGGATTGCGCTTTATTTTCTGGATTATTTTTCGATATCCTTCTATCATTAAAAATGCTATCTCTGCCGAAGTAATTTGATTTTTAATAATCTCAAATGTGTTAATATCAGTACAAAAATTAAATTGAATTGCTGTGTCTTTTCTGCATAAGTGTGATGACAGCTGATTCGAATAACGGTTTTGCTTATCTTCGAAAAAAGCTAAACCAAGTCGATTTCATAATACCATTTCAAACAGCTATTGATTTTCGATTCCGATAAATAAGCTGTGTCGGTTTCTATAACACCACCGAATGTAAATAGTTTACAGCAGTTAATAGATTGGAATTGAATTCCAAAAGAAGGGACCTATTTGTGTCCAACCGCAAAGACGCAATTATGAAAGAAGTGGAAGTAAGTGGAAGTAAGTGACATAATGCGGTCGACTTGAGTAATTTTTGTTTTTTGTCGGAAGGTGGCTCTCATGAATTTATTATTAAAAAAAAAAAAAATCGACGGATGGTAGGTGAAATCAACGAAAACAAATTTGGGAGACACCAGTACAACAGGGGACACAAAGTGGAAGGCCAATGGGTATTTGATGGCGTAGATGGTGGCACAAATAGGTGATTTTCAGTGCTTGTGAAAAAAGAGATAGGGACACGTTGCTAGCAGTAACTAAGGAATGGTTTCTAACAGGAACTATAATAGTGCTCGATTCTGGAAAAGTAAGGAAAAATATAAACTTAACATATTAGCTTCTTTTCCAAAATAACCGTTTCTAACGTATACTTTTAGACATGTGATTGCCTAGCAGATGTAGGGCTCATTCATTTTAAGGGGCACACTTAGTGTAATTGCCTGAAAAAAGGTGATTTTTGGGAATTTTTATTAAAAAAAAAAATACTTTATCAATTATTTCAAAATTTTAAGAATATATTTATACATGTTTGAGGAATTTACAGTGAAATTTTCGAAGAAAAAAATTAAATTTTTTTAAGTTATAGTCGATCTTCAACGGCGCGAAAAAAGGTCCTTCACTGCTGTAGTGATTCCGGCCTTCTCCGTGGATGAAATCTAAAAACAAAAAATTCTCTACTAGATAATATTGTCTGGACAATGACCTATTTTAAAAAAAAGTCAAAAATTGACAATATGGCGGGGTTTTAAAAAATAGTCGAATTTTAACCAAAATTTTGGTCGTTTTTGGCCTGTCGAAATTCAATTTTTTCATCAGATCAAAAAGCGATAACATTGTACGGAGAACTATATATAGAACATGTAAAAAAAAATTTCGATAGCGATCGGATCATTTGTTTTTAAGTAATCACTGCAGCAAATTCGGAAAATGCTGTTTCGAGAAAAACTCGTAGCTAATGAGACTCTCTAGCTGCCGAGCGGCTGCTCTTTAAATTGCTATAACTCAAAAACTATTTGAGATATCGATTTGAAATTTTAATGTGTTATTTTTAAAGGTGTAATCTACCGAAATATGAAAAAAGATCGAAGATTTTGAAATTTCACACTAGGTGTGCCAATTAAATTTAACCACTCTGTTCATTTCAAAGACCCAGAAACACAACAACACACAAAAACAATTAAAGTTCTATGGAGGCATGTAAAATATTCTATGCCACAATACAATAAAAGCAAGAAATTTTGTAATGGTTACTCAGCTAAATTTATGTTTTTAAAGTATTGTAAGTCGAAAAAAGTAAATGAATTTGATGCTGTTTTGAATTTTGCCGGAAGTTTGAACAGTCTTCTTGCAGGAAAAAGAAGAGTACGAAATTGAAATAAAGCAATCAAACTTACAAATGTTTTACTTAAGAACACTGTGCAAGGAGAAGAGGGGAAACTATGTATATATAACTTTAAACGGTAATTTAAATATTTACTAGCTGTACATCAAACTAAAGATAATTTTGTACCCTTTTTTATTTTTAAATAGTGTTAAAACGTCACATTCTTAAGAAAATAATAGTTTTTTTATAGCAAAAAATTAGTTTTTTTTTTAAATTTTCCTTTTTTGTTTAAAATGTGGAATAAACATATACATATATGGGTACTCAATTAATGGTATTTCAATTACCCCGTCAGCGGTTTATGATAACCGGTTTAGTTTTGAAAAGAAGGACATTTTAAGAGTAAGGAGATCCCTCCCTTCCCACCCCCTGGCGCTCATAATATTCATTTGCACAAGAAGTGTTATATACTATTAAATTCGTTGGGGGGAACAACGCCTACTAATTAATTTTTACCGGTTATCGATTCAAATAAAGATTTAATGCATTTTTCTGAATTTTATGTTTTTTTTTTTTTTTTGAAAAACTTTCCTATAGCTCTTAAAAAAATCACCCTTTATAATACAGATTTTTCCAACAAATAATTAAACTTCATTAACTACTTTAAACTCCATAGTCTCTCGAGATGGCTAATCATTTGTACGCCTGCAACTGGGAATCTGATATCGTTTTAACTAATACTCATACAAATAACAATCAACAGATGAAAAATCCAACAAGAATCATTTACTATTCAACTGGTGCAGTTTTTCGTAAAAATTTACAATTTATGATAATGCGCAGTCAACGGCAAACATGCATAACAGCAATGAAGTTTTCAATATTGTCATTGAGCAGCTTTTCGGGTGTATATATTCGATAATATTTACATGTTTGAATAAATTTACGCTATTAACTATATATATATATATATTTTTTTTTTTGTATGTTTTCAGTTAATGAGTTCATCGATGAGCTATTTCGCACTTTTGCAAAGTTTCTACGAGGACGAAGAGAACTGAACTTAGTGGCAGTGATTTTTCAACTTCGAAAACTAGTAGTTCTTCAATTATCGAAGTTGGTTTTGTTGCACCTAAGCTAAAGCTTAGCTTACACATTTTCGTAATAATTTTTAACAGTTATATATTTTCTGCTTAATAAAGAATTATTTAAACTTGGCTCTTAAAAATCACTTTCAGCTTCAACTATTCAATATTCAATCATTGTATGGGAGTGCCGGACGCCTCTTTCGCTTCAGTCAATGCTCTAGCTTGATGCGTGAATACAGGCACATTGATGCCCTAAATGCAAGAATTAATACAAATTAACAAAATATCTCTAGTTTGAAAACATATTTTGGAAAAATTTATCAAATTATTATAACTCACCTGCATTTTAGCCGAACGTATGAATGCTTTATTCGAGGTCACAGTCACCGCTTTCATATGCATGCCAAAGGCAAAAATTTTTAAACTACGTTGATTTATTTTACCGCTAAATTTAATCACAGACAACTCTTCGGGCACCTCAACCACATCGGGTAGCACCTCAACACGTTGCATCAATTCCTTAGCACGCTGATGTTCCAATGGGCCTGCCAGCAGTGATATGATCTCTTCGAATGATTTGTAAGCGGTTTCGCAACAAATTAAACGCTTGTCTGAAGAAGGCAAAAGCATTTTGTGCATTCAAATAATTTTTCATTGTAAATATAATTACCTTTGAATAGATTATCCAATACCGGTTTTAATGGCGCCTGTCGCTCCTTCTCCGCCTGTTCGGTTAGTATTCCCTCGCGAAATATCCAATTACAATTGCCATTGCAAACATTACTAATATACGCCAACAGTGTTGTGATATCTATATTTAACGTACTCACGTTTGTAATGTCAGCACTTTCATCACATTCGAAAGGCTCTGCAATGGAAGCTATTTCTACGCCAATCTCTTGTAGCTCCACAATTAAGGCATTGTCTATATTTTGACTAAAATAGAATACCACCTGAAGGAAAACATGTGTTTTATGATGCGCATGCAATTTTTAGAAAAATCACATATTCACACTCATATATATGTATGTATGTACATACCTTAGGCGGCTTAAACATGCATAAATGTTGCATGCTAGCATCTACAAATTCTTGCGCTTGATCTAATATGCTGCGTGCTCCATAACTAGCTGCACCTTTGGCGGCATCAGTTAAAGATTTTGAATTACGTGCTATTGCTGTGTTGAGTATATGATTGAAACGAATTAATTTTTTAATAAAAATTGGAGTCTTTTCTTCACAAACCTTTAATCCACTTTAAGCCATTCTCACAAACAATATCCACACGTAGTGGATTACTGCGACCATCAACAGTGAAGCCACAGTCAAGATGCACAACATCACGTTGTACTTTGAGAATTTCCACCAAGAAGGCGTAGTGTGTTAAGTTGCTGCATTGGACGTGATTTATTTTTAATGTTTCATTTTTTATAACCTGTTAGAATAAAAATTTCATATCGAACTAATTACCACACTAATTAATATACATAATATAGATACATTTATATTTGTTTAATTCTACCAAGCCGGTTTTGCAAAAAATTCAGTAAAACATCATTAGTAAGACATACATATGTACATATGACTAATAAATAAACTTGCTCGGATAATACATTTTACAAAAGATTTTGGCGCATCTCTTACCTTCAACAGAAACTTCACTTCCTGACTGATTTTTCGTTGTATTTTGTCTACGCCATTTATTTGTCTATATTCTTCCAACTGCGTAATTAGTTCATGGCCAAGCTCTATTTTCTCATTGGCACGCTCCACCAGATCTTCAAATAGAATCTCTTTTTCCATTGCAGCAGCAAATATTGCAATTTTAACAGATGTAAAAAAAATAAATAAATACAAGTAAATCAGCTGTTGCAACAACAGAAGAGTGGCAGTGTTGCACGCTTACAAAGAAATCTCTACGAAAACTTAAAAAGAGGGTAAAAATTAATGTACTCTGGGAAGTTCTTCCTGTTTAAAATTTTATGGGCAAAAAATGCTTGTACTAATATTTAATTATTTTATTGACTGGTTAAATATGATTATGCGCCAAAACTCGTACTAACTTTCCCACCAAAAATTTAAAATTCGTTATATTTTCTTTAAAAGTATATTTTATATTTGTATGAATTTTATCAAACTCAATTTTCTGTAAAAAATTAATACATTATAGCAGTATTATACAATTTAATATGAGTTAAGTGAGCACTTTAAATCTTAGAAACAGGCTTCAAGCCCAAAATAAAGAAGCACTGCTTCAATATGGCAGCTGTAGCTTCGCATAACAATATTCGTCCACGATTGACCTTCACAATTTCGCCACTCTTATTTTTCTCAATACAATAACAATTGTCATAGAATTCGGAGAATACGGTAGCAACTTCATAGCAGAATTCACAAAGTGTATGCAGCAATAAATCCTTTGAAATCTTAACCAACACATCGGGGAACTTTAATAGAGTCTTCGCTAGTTTCCATTCCTTTTCATGTTCCAATTCAATCTTAGTACGATTATCTAATATTTTCACCAGGTCAGAGAAATCTTCACCACAATTACGTGATATTGAGCAGATGCGCGTAAATGCATAGAGCAGATATACAGCAGTATTACCACGATCCTCCAACATTTTATCGAAGGAGAACACATATTCATTGGTGCGATTATGACTTAAATCGGCATATTTAATACAACCATAAGCCACAGATTCTTGCGCTGCTTTCAATTCCTCTGGTGTGAGAACCTTATCACGTTCTTTTTCCAATAATTTATCAAGTGCACGTTTTAAGCCTTCATCAAGCAGATCTGAGAGTTTCACTGTCTCACCGGAGCGTGTCTTGAACTTTTTACCATCCTCACCCAATACTACACCGAAGTTAACATGATCGGCGCGATGTATTTTTGGATTAAAAATGCCCGCACGTTCCGCAGCACGATAAATATTTTGTAAATGAGTGCTCTGGCCAGAGTCCACAACATAAATCAACCATTCTGCTTTTTCTTCTTCTAAACGATACCTTATAGCAGCCATATCTGATGTGTCGTAGGTGAAACCACCATCTGATTTGACTATGGTCAAAGGTATGCCCGATGAGGTTTCATCAGCCCACATAATTTTGCGACCATCGTCTTCTTCTAACAGATTTTTGGATGCTAAAAACTTCACAACTTCTATCATACGTGACTGATAGAAAGATTCACCGACTGGTTTCAATGTTACATCCAAACGTTCATAGATTTTTTGGAACTCTTGACGCGACACATCGCAAATCTGAGTCCAAGCTTTAGTTGAGTTCGCATCACCGCTTTGTAGTAATACAACACAATTGTAGGCGCGCTTCTTGAATTCTTCATCCTCGTCAAATCTAAAAAGAACATTTGAATAGGTAATTTCTTTGGAATCATAAAAAGATAATTCATTAAATTGTGGAATAACTCTTTTTTTTTTAAATGTTGCAAATTTATTCTAAATTTCTCTTGGTCAGTAATTAAGTCATAGTTTATGTTTTACTCACCGCTTCTTCGACTCTTTGTAAAAGGCTTGCAAATCTCCGATTGGTGGACTTTCGTTAAGAAAATTGGGAAAACGATCTTCCAAGTGCGCAATCAACATACCGAATTGGGTACCCCAATCGCCAAGATGGTTGATGCGCAGCACGTCGTGACCTAAGAACTCTAGCAAACGACAAATAGATTCGCCGATAATCGTTGAGCGTAAGTGACCAACATGCATTTGTTTAGCTATATTAGGTGAAGAAAAGTCAACGAGTACACGTTGTTTACGGCAAGCTGGTGGTTTTACGCCATTGCGTAAAATGTTTTCGATAGCATGCACAGCATAATCCCTAGAGAAAGATTTTTAAATAAATACTTGATTTTAAATTTGTATGACGCTTTTACTTTTTAAGGAACACATTGATGAAACCAGCACCGGCAACTTCCGTTTTCGCCACAAGCGGCGATGGTGCAACATTTTTAACTATTTCATTAGCTATATCGCGAGGAGATTTATTAACACCGGCAGCTTTTAATGTCTTCGCTAACGACATAGCACTATTGCATTGATAGTCACCAAACTTGGCAGCAGTTGCATTCACAGGTGATATAATAGCCTGTGTGCCAGCAAGATTTGGAAATGCCAATGCGATGGCATTTGTAAATAGATCTACAAGATGTTCAGTTATTGATATCATTTCGTTAACTGTGCTAGGTAGTTTAACTGGTTGGTATTTAATAACAGCAGTGGAGCCGTGCGCATTCTGTTCTGCTGCAATTGCCTAGATTATGCATTATCAATATTAAGTGATGAAATACACATACAAATTGTCTGACGAAACGATGTAAACAATTACCAACCTTGTTTAAAATCGCCAAACGATGTTTTAGTTTCGTGTTCTCAGTTTGTAATTTCACATACTCTTCGTCTTCTTCAAACTCAAGCCCCTCGCCACGTTTTGTTTGTTCAATTTGCGTTCGCAAATGGGCTGTTAGACGCTCCTAGACGTGTAAGGAAAAACATATAATATCCACGTAATGAATTCTAATGAATTTATTGGTCAGCACAAACCATTTCACTGAGAGCAACAGTTTCACTTTCTATTGAAGACATTTTTTATAACTAACAATTGTCTACTTTCAATATATTTCGATAAATTTATGTTGTTAAAATTGCGATTTCGGCAATGAAAAATATCCACCAATAATCAGCCACATGGAGCAAAAACAAATCATCATTGGAAGGAAATAGCTCCAAACCGCTATTCGATCAGCTGTTGCATTAATTTCCAGCTCTTCCTCTTCTTTCATTGGTATAGAATGCTCATTCACGATGGTGGAATAATAGCAAAGAACGAATATTAATTATTATTAATATACGTTCTTTGATATCACCCAACCGTGCCAAAGAACGTAATGTACGTATATACGTTCTTTGCTCTTGGACAATAGAAAGCAATCAGCTGAGTCGGGTTTGTGATATTATATGATATGCTTTATTTGAAGCCTTGCTTGCCTTACTTCAATACCACGAAATAACAAAAACATATTTATTTTACAAAGTATTACTTTATTAAAAGCTTCAATAAAATTCATTATGTCTAAACAGCTATTATCAAAGAGATTATATGACAATTTGTTTTGAAATCACTTAACTTAAACTAATTTCTAAAATTCATATGTGTATACCTACATACATATGTATGTAGAAGTATATGTATAGGTTATCGTCACGATTAGCACTGCATTCGTCACTAAAATTTGATCTAGCCAAAAATTTTCTTATACTCTGATTATTATTAAGGATTCTGAATTACATTTAACCCTCTCGTTCTTAGAGCTGTTGACACAGCTTCATGAAGCACTCTGTCGCTAACATTGTCACCATTTCTTTCCGTAGCTGCTGCCATCAATCTGCGTCTTTGTGGCATTGGTTGTGAAACGTTAGCATTAGCATCTGTAGAATTCTCCCCATCTTCATCGTCCACATTCCGTTTGTTATTATTGTTATTACTCCCACTACTACTATTACTGCCCGTGCTATTACTCTGCGCATTTTCTTCTAAATGCGGTCCTCGCAATCCGTACCGTCGAATTGCTGCATGAATTCCAGTTGCCTCGAAGAATTGGTGATAATGTTCTTCCATATGGAAAAATTCTCCAGCAGCTTCAAGTCGTCTATTGATGAAATTATCGCATTCACACTCGAATATGGCATTCCGTTGCCATAAACGTAGTTCGGTTTTATTCATTTGAACTGTAAATAATAACATTAATGTATATGTATATACATTTATATGCATAAGAAATTATGCAGAAAGTAAATTGCTTTAATTTACACATAATTGAGTAGTATTGACTTACAATTTGTTTCAGGTAACGGCGCAAACAGAAAATCCATTACTTTTTTTAAAACAATTCCTAGTTTTTATTCCAAAACTTTGTTGACATAACAAAAGACTAAAAATTGTAAAATTTATAAATTGTTTGTAAATTTCTTTCTGTATACTTTGTTTTCTATTTTTTCATTCACCTGACGTTTGTTTATTGATACTTTTTTAGTGATGTGAAAAATTTAGAGATGGAAAATAGTGCTGCCGATTATCCACAGGGTGACTATTTAGAGAATTATTATTTTGTTCATCGATTATTGATAAGCACCACAAATGATCTTTGAAGGGGTTCCTGACCGGTTTTCGCCACCGAATGACTGACGGACTTGTTAAAGAAGACTTATATTTTATGTCAGAAATACGCTCGAGGAGGATGATAGTCCAAGTAAGCACTTTGTAACCGTTGAAGCGATTTTCGGTCAAGCTGCTCCTCCAATTTGTGGTTTTGCGTGATGATTTTTTTCTAACAAACGGAGGGAATTTATACTAAGCCACTTCGAAAGGCTGATGCTTTTTATTAAGAACTTTATTTCATGTCAGAAATATACTCGAAGGGATTGAATTACCTGATAGTTACTAGAAGCCACATTTGAAATCGCTAGCCACTAGCGCCTAGAGAAAAGAAGTTGCACTTGACCTGTCGGGCGCTAATTACGCCACACCGATTTAGGAACATAACGGAAATCCTACTGAAGTCTCTTGTGCGCCACTTACACGTTAAAACATAAATATACCAGTTAAGGTCCATGATTTGGCTGAATCACTATTAGGCACATCAGCATTGCTCTGTGTTAGGTGTTGAAGATTGAACCCGTTGGGGCATACTTTTTCGGTTACAACAACATCAACTACAATAGAAATTGGTTACTCGATTTAAGGGAGTACCACAGAATAGAATCTCTGAAGAGAACGACAAACCGACAGACTCTTCACGCGAGTGAGTAAAGATTTTGACTGACATTCGCCTGGGAGGGGCCAGAAACGATTATTTTGCATATAAAAAAATTTTCGCGCTAAAGTGTGAGGGCGTATCCCATGCCATTGTGCGTAGGACTTGGGCCCCACACATGGAAAATAAACTCCAATGAAAAAAGAACAACTTGGATGAGAGACTACAAAAACTTATTTAAAAAGAAATATTGCTTTAGTAGTTAATAGTTTTTTTTTATCATACATACATACATGTATGCTCCCCCAGAAAGGCGAAAAGTTAATATTTTTTCACTTATTTCTTTATTTATCTGAAACCATCAATGTACGTACATACGTATGTATACAGTAAACAATTATTCAAATATCTCTATTTTATCAGTATAATTCATACAACTTACAACTTACAACAGTGTATATAACATGTCCATACATACATACATATGTACATATGTATATAATATGTAGCTTTAAGAAAAATACTACAGTTCAATGTATAACACCCTAAAGGACAAACAGTGGGACGTTATAAATATTTATACATAAATCCGATTTATTTTGATTTATGATTTTTTTTCACAAAACGTGATAAAATAGCGCAGCTGAATTTTCCAAGTTGGTCATCAATAAATGTTTTACTTGAAGTTGATTTCTAATTTTTATTTTTTATTTTTTATTTGTTATTTTTTAATGTAATATTGTTTGTATTTTCTGTTGAAATCTTCGCTGTATGAATTTAAATTGCGTATATGTGTGTGTTTATGTAGATAGTAAGACAACATGACTCTTCAGTAATAAAAAATTTAGCGTTTCAGAAACATTTAATTAATAGTATTATACATAAAAACACATTATGTAGTAAATATGTAAACTTCCATCGAATTCCATTTGCACAACAATTACATATAATATGTTTATAACATCCAGGTATTATTTAGCAAGTTCAGCGCGTTGTTTATGCTTATGTATGTTATGTGTTGAAAACCTAATACAAAGACTTTTCAATAAATATTATTCAAAAAGGGGAAAAATACATTTAAAAATTTGTATACTTAATGTTTTAATGTTTTCAATCAGTAGTAGTAGAACATACATGCAAAAGTTTATAACTAAATTTAATTTTTTGAACTATCGTTGTTATTAGAAATTAATGCTTGATTTATAGCAGAACAAAAATTTATAATTTAAAAAGTTTAATTTTAAATCGAAACATGTGTGATGACAATTTTTAACTTGCAATGACTTTATTTATTTGGTTTGTACAATTAAAAAAATAAAAAAAAAATTTTTTTTAAATTTTTTTAATGAATTTTATATTTTTATCAACACAATTTTAAAGTTCACATTTTAACTCCGAATTTTATTTTAGACATGTATGTGTGCGTGTACACTTAAACATTTAAATATTCAGCAATGTATCACAATTAATATCCACATTCATTTCTACAAAGAAATATTTTAGTTTATTTTTTTAATTTTCACTTTAATTTTCTGTTGAGTTTTTATTTGTTTGTATTTATTTGAAATAACGATTCATAGGTGAAAAAGAAAATTCTATAATTATTAATAAATAATAGTCTAATAATAATGCGCATGCAGCAACGATGTTTTTAAAGTTTCATTTACCATGAAAATATTAAAATAAAAAATAAAAAATTTACTACGAAAAGATTTGATGGTAAAAGCACGATGTTTTTTTGCTTCATTTTAGTTAAAAGTTATAACATATACATATGTATATGTGAAATTTATCTCTTTTTGTATGCATACTTTTTTGAAAACTTAAGAATTCTGTTTCGAAGCGGTTATCCACAGGCTAGTTTCTTTTGCTGGTATTCAGAATGGCGTTGTGCGCAAGTTCTTCATATATATATATTTTTTTTTAAATAAAAACATATTATTTGAATTCAAAGTGTTAATAGATGAAAAATGTTTATGCGAAGTTAAAAAATAAAATAATAGAAACTTTGTTTTTTTTCTTTAGAAACTTTCTTTAACAAAATCTCATTAAGTGTTTGAATTCTTGCTGCTAACTGACATTTTCTTTACTGGCTACTCCTATTTATTTAACGTAACAATATTCAATAATTTTTATATGCTGATTTAGCAACCAACATAATGCTTCACATATATATGTATGTATGTATAAATATAATTCTAACTCAACAACTTAAATTTAAATCTTATACATAAATCTAAGCTATCAGTGTAACGCAAAATACAATTTTTCATAAAAAAAAATTATAATAATGAACTATCAAAAAGTCTTTTTGCAAAATTCTCTCAACTTTGTTTGTATAAATATTTTTTGTTTCTAATATTAAAATTTTTTTTGCACCAAAATTTGTTTACATAGTGAACGTTTTATTTTTAATTAATATATATAATTTTTTTTGTTTATTTTTTTTTTAATTTAATTTTTAATTTTAAGCGCACATAAAACGCAGCTCACCACGGCGTACAATGAAACCATTTCATACACACAAATAATTAATGCTATGAACCAGTTTTGTATTGTTAGTATACATTAGATTTTGTTTTTGTTTTTGTTTTCGTCGTTTGTTGTTTGTTTTTAACCATTTCGAGCCCAATTGAACATTTAGTGTAAGTTTTAAGGTATGAAGTGAAAACAAATTTTCCAACACACTCAATTCCAAAAATTTTTGGGGTAAAACCTTGTGCAATATTTTTTTTTTTTTTTGGTTCACACATCATCATATTGTATATATATATATGTACATAAGTATTTTATATTTTGTATAGGCATACTTGTATAACTTATTGATCATATTTTTATATGCAAATTTCATTATTTGCATATTATTGTGTATACGTATATATAATATGTATGTATGTATACATTTTGTAACAATAAAATTTTTTCCGGTATAATGTATAATATTTTATGGATAAACAGACATATGTACTGCTGGGATATAAATATCAATATATATACATATACATATATATATATATATAAGATAGATAATATAGACTTATACAAAAATAGGCATTATACAATATTTTGAAAAACTAACAACAGTTTTTTTTTAATTTTGTATGTATATTTCAATAATAGTGCAAACTCAATTCTTATCCACACGTATATACTATATATGTATGTATATATAAATATTATATTTTTTTCTTTGTAAGTTTTTTTTTTAGAGCAATAACAATAAAAACTGTTAATATGCTCTTGCATATGTATGTAAGTTTTTCATTATTTTATTTAATTCACCTATGGCAGTAATTTATATTAACTATTTTGAGTTAATTTGACTTTTTCATAATTTTTTTTTGTTTTTTGTTTTTTTATTGTGTGCTTACAGCACTTGAGACTTGACTTGTTTATAGCGCCGTTTTTTCTTTCTTCAAACAAATCTTATACAACAAATAAAATTCCATATACAATCCTTCGTTAATTTAGCACATTTTCAAATCATTTTTTTTTTTCTCATTCAACATTCAAATACGACAAATACATACAAAGTTTTAAGTTTTATTTTCCACAGCAATTTAACAATCACACATCGATTAATTTTTAGTTCCACTTGTTTGTGTGTGTGTGTTTGTGCTTGTATGAGTGTGTTGATAATAATATGCGCATGTGCATGAAATGGTGTGCTTTTTGAATGTATTGTTTGTTTTTTTTGTTCTGTTTTATATTAATTTAGCATGCAGCTGCCATGACTCCTGCCTCACAACTCCTCTCATCATTCGGCATTTTCTTTTTTTTTCGTTGTGTGTTTTGTGTGGCACAATGTCTAAATTTAAACTATTTATTGCTGCCCATGCGACTTTCTGCGTAGCCTATTTGCGCAGTGTACTGCTATAGCCATGCACCACCTTTCTCTACCTCACCAATCAATGCCTCTGAGTGCCAGCAGCGGTATATAAAAGCTACGAACGCCACTCGTTCCTTCCTTTGCGTTTTTCAAATTCGATTTACCGCAATTTGATTAGACTGAAATAGATAGAAAAATTAAAAATTAAAACAATTCCAATAAATATTAAAAAAAAAAAATATTCTTATATTTACAGCAGGGAAAATATTTGAAACTTATTTATTCAAAATAAAGAAGTAAATCATGGCGTTCAATAAGTCTAACATAAGCAAAGGTTTCCAGACCACGAACTGACAATCTACATACATACATACAGCCATGGTCATGCAAATAGCAAAACTTTCCTTCCGATACATAACAATGAAACAAAGGGATATTTGTGCTTAAAATATGAAAATATTGTAACGATGTGTTCACTCAGTTATTATTTAGCACAACCTTTATAAAAAAACTTAATAATAATTCAATGAAAGTTTAAAATAATTGAAAGTTTGAGGTTCCTGATAAAATTCCCCGGTCACGCAAATAGCACATTTTGCAAAACTTGTAATTTTAAGTTCAAATATGCCAGATTATACACCATTATTAATCTTAAGTAGGTCTTATCTATTAGTATTTGGTAGTATATCCACGATTTTTAGTAACAGCTTCACATCTGCGTCCCATGCTCTCAACAAGTTTCTCATATTTTTCTTTTGGTATGGAGTACCACTATCATTTGACGTGCTCCCACATATCATCGAATTTTTTGCAGATATATTTGTTTTAACATCGTTCCATAAATTTTCTATTTGGTTTAGGTCTGGGCTTTGCACAAGCCAATCTTGTGTGACCTTCGCGGTATGCTTAGGATCACTATCCTGCATAAAAGTCCAATTAAGTGGCATGGAGTCAAATACAAATCGCTCCATTTCATTCTTTAAGTTGTCCAGATATTAATATTTGTCTATTTTTCCAAATTGCCCCCCAAATCATGATATTACCGCCTATATGTTTCATGGTTTTTTTATTGTACCTAGGATTCAAATCTTGACCTCTTTGGCGATGAAATGTGGTTTTCCCATCCGGTTCCATTCTATTTATTTTAGTTTCATCGGTCCATAACATATTATTTCAAAATCTTATCGCCCGGTTCTCAGGCGTCTTAGCAAAGTTTAACCGTTTTTCTATTATTTCTTATTTAAACGCCTTCCGACATGGCTTCTTCATATAGTCAAATCGAATTCTTCGTTTATTTTCAGCATTTTTTGCCTAGAAAATTCAAAAGGATCTAGCTTCTTTTTTCGTATTTTGGCTCTGTCTTCAAAAATCGCTGTCTTGCGCGGAGCAGGTGCCTTGGATTTGTTTTGAGATAGATAATCTTCACTCTCTTGAACCAGTTTAAAGACTTTATGTACTATTTTATGGGAATAATTCCAGAAAACTGCAATTTCTGAAACACTTTTTCCTGTCTTATCCATGTTATGAATAATGATTCTTTTTTGAGGAGAACAGTGTTTACCGCAAACCATTTTAATTCAAGCTGCGTAAATTTTGATAGAACTGAACTTTAAATGTATTTAAATTTCACTAAAAATAAATAAAAAGATACTTTCAAGATCCAACCGATGACTGTGCTATTTGCGTGACCACCACAAACTAATAGCACGATCAGATCGACGAAAAAAATATGATTGCTAGGATAACGGAAATGTACGAAACGCGCTGTAACCTAGATAACATAAGTAACTATTAAACATTTTTTTATTCAGAAAAATACCGTTATGTTCCTCAGAAGAGTTACATTTTCTCGTATGATACACTTTGTGCTATTTGCGTGACCATGGCTGTATGTAGGTACAGGGGTTTCCAATAAAAGGTGTAATTTTGAAATTCAAAGAAACTTTTCCCTTAAAAAATCACTGTTTTTTTTTTTGCTTGTGTGGCTGTATATCGATAGTGCAGGCCATTAATTTTCAAAAAATTGAGATCGAACAACCCCGGGGGACCATAAACCGTATCAAACAGTTACACGTTGAGGATTGAGAGGCTTTTCAACTATAAATCTAGGGTTTTCCGAGCCCCAGATGCGAGAGTTTTGCTTATTGATTTTGATTATTGATATCCATTGATAACCATCGAGGTGGAAATGGGCCTCATTAGTCAAGATAATTTTTCGATGAAATTTTTTTGATGGATGCTAATCATTTCAATGCGTTGTTGAAGCGTGTATCCTTCCATTTTTATTACTGGCGCAGGTTTTTATTTGACAACTATAACCAAGCCAAAACTTTACAACTTCGAAAGTGACCTCTCTTCTTCTCTTTGAAAGCCCTTTATATAACAGTCCAGTCGTGAATCACTGGCGGATCAGCTCACAGTTTATACCACTGATCGTAGTGACCTGATCAATCTCAGGGCAGTGGTTTAAGCATTTTCCCACGGTAATGCATGCTTGCCTTAAGAGGCGAATAAAATCTAATACTTTAGAAAATATTTTTGCAGCTCCAACAACAACCTGAAACTTGGAGAATGTCTTCGACGCTTCTCAAGATGTAGACTTGGCACCGATCTGTTCGAAAAAATCGAATTTATTTTTGAATAGTTCGATTTACATGAAGTTTGGTACATATGTAGGTAGCTTTTTAGATGGGACTAGGGACCGATCTGTTCAAAACATTAATTTGGTATAAAATTTGTTAAAGAGTTAGCTTTGGATCTAAATTAATACGTGGTACAATTTTTCTTCCACGAAGTGGGCTTGTCGTGGGTAAAATTAGTTTTAATATCGAGATCATCTAAGGAGATGCACTTGAAGCGAGGTAGCTAGAGCCTTTCGTCTGCTATGGGCGGTGGTTGGATTGAAAGCACGCCATTCACTGAAAGTGAGTTTATAAAGTTGTTGATGGACTCTATGTGAATGACGTGTAGGGCCTGTCGGTTAGTCGTCCAGTGCTGCGTAATTTATGAACGGCCGGCCGATTGCCTTGAAAGTTACGAGCTTTTCTTGCCGCAGGCGCCGGTGACTAGCGATTTAAATGGCGCATGCGTAGTATAAGAGTACAGTCTATCCAATGCGACTTCAAGTAACTTGAGTGTTAATTATTGTCGGGATTTCGACGTCGTCAACCTTCCCATATAGTTCCCCATAGTTACGTCCAGGTGATGAAGAGGGTAGCAGAGGATTTCGCAGATTCTAGATGTGTTTGTCGCGCAGTGAATAAGTGGGAGAAGTCGCCTAGGTGGTATCCGACTTTCACGACAGGCAGCGCTTTGTGCCGAAGTTTATCCGGTCAAGAGCTGTCACTTTTTCTTAGCTCCTACTCTGCTTCGGTCAAAAGTAAAACTTTTATTTTAAGTTAGAAATACAGTCAAAGCCGTTGGCATTGCCTGCCGAGGGGCGACGGCATTTAGAAAATCTTCTTACACTACTATCCATTTAGCTACAGCGCAATATTGATAATGAAAACGAACGATTTGAATATAAAGTCTTTCAGCTAAGCCATTTTTTTTTTAACAAAACACTCCACAAATAGCTCAAAAAATAATCACATTAAAAGGTTTACTTGTAACTAAGCCAAGGAGATTTCCACTTACTTTGATCAAAAGTGCTTGGATTAATGTAGCTAATCAAATCTTGATCTGACATGGTGGTCAACTCTTGCGGCAGCGGCACAGGTACAACAGCAGCGCCCGGAATAATGCCCGCCGCAGCTGCAGACGTTTGTTGAGTGACAACAGCGCCGTTTGTAGTCACAGCCGCGGCGGCTACTGATTTTTGCAGCGAGTTTTCGGTGGCCAAAGCGACGATGAGAGATTCCTGCGGTGCAGTGGGAGGTCTGCGGCGAGAAAAAAGAGAAGATATTAATAATAAGAACGCACCACAGTAAAGCTGATGGCAGCGTAATACTTACATGCCCATTGAGAATTGGGTTTGAACATCGGTAACTGCGGCAGCTGCAACGGCTGCCGATGGCGGCGCGTCGGGGTGATTCAGAAGTAAATTCACCAGAGGACTTGTGTTGGCAGCCGCTGCCACAGCTGCACCATTTATTAGGGCTTGTGCTGGTGGTTGTGGCGGCTGCTGTTGCTGTTGTTGTGCGTGATGTTGTACTTGTTGTTGGCTTTGCTGTGAATGATGACGATGATGATGGTGATGCTGTTGTTGTTGTTGCTGTTGATGATGATGCTGCTGCTGCTGTTGCTGTTGTTGCTGCTGCTGCTGTTGTTGTTGTTGCAAGCATGCTTGTTTTTCTTGCGTGGAAATCAAATCAGCAGCGGCTTTAATAATCAAATTACTAACGGCAGTCGAGGTGGCGACCGTAACATCGGCCGGCTGCTCAACAGTCTGCTCCACACTAGCCACATCATCCACCACGGCACCTGGAGCACTCGTCGGACTCATTATTATGTTGCTGAGTGCAAGTGCTGCGACGGTTGCGTGTTGTTGTGTGGGCTGTGGTTGCATGGCAATATCATTCAATATCGAATTGGCCATGGTGACTTGATGGGGCGCCATTATGTTGGGCACCACAGCGGTGGCAGCACCATTAGCTGAACACAAAATAGTGGACGGTGAAACGGCGGGATTCATTATCATCTCAGTGGAGATGCCACCACTGGGATCGGTAACTGTAGCACCGGCGGCTGCACCCTGCACAGCAACGGCTGCTTCGACGACGGCATTTGGAGATACCGCGGCGACGCTGCCACCCAAAGGTGTGGGCAAGAGTTGTTGTATTGGCATTGCGTTTAGTACTGCAGCTGGTTCAGAGTTCAAAATAATATCTTGTGTAATGGGTGAGTTATGACCGTTTAGAGAATTACTCGGCGAGACGGAGAGTGTGCCATTCATGCCGGTGTGTGGTGACGAGCCGCTCGAACTGTTCGAGTTGGACGATGAAGTGCTTGATATGGATAAACTGCGTTCGAGTACAGCTGGCTGCTGCTGCTGTTGTTGTTGTTGTTGCTGTGCCTGCTGTTGCAAATTAGCTTGTTGCATAATATCACCGAATGGATGATCAATGACCGGTCCAACACTGCCACCAACACCACTGAATAGCGACTCCTCCACAACGGCCGCCACAGTAGGGTCATCCGCCACAGCGGTGGATTTGGTCAAATCAGTTATAAATTTGTCCACAGCGACTGCCTGTTGCTGTTGTGCCACAACTTTGGCGATTTCTGTCTTTACAGCCAATTCAACAGCGGCCGCCACAGAGGGCGATGCCACAGCCGCTACGGGGAAACCAGTCATACTATTCGAATCATACATCATCGTATCCATGCCGGTCTTATGATCGTAATGCGCATGAAACTGCATTGCAGTTGGACTAATGGGTGCACCACAATTGGCCATTACCACATCGGGTGCTTGTATTGCCTCAGCCAAAGAACTTTGCGATGTCTCATCGATCAGTTCAGTCTTCAGTGTATCGGCTACATTCAAACGCACCAATTGTTGATCCGTTAACATGGGCGTGACAGTGGGCAATGATGGACGTCGTACGCCCATTGGCATTTGTGTGGTTATCGGTGGTGGCATCATGCCGGAATCAATTTCATGTTTCGTCTCCGTGGCTGTGGGCCAAAGTACACCGGCGGCAACACCACCAATGCCACTGCCTCCAGCGCTACCAGCGCCACCAGCTGCAGCACTGCCAGCCATTGCTGTTGCCAAATCGTTTGTTGATGTGTCCATAAATGTAGCGGCATCTACAAATATATATGAAATTTTGTTAATAACGCCCAGAGTAGGGTGAAGAAATGGCAGTAGGTCGTTTTGTTGGTAGGAATATAAATGAATAAATAAATAAATAAATTGTATTTGCATTGAAAATGGACAAACATATTTAGTTACTCTTTTTTTTGTTGGGTTTGTAAATTGATACTAAAAATATATGATGTCTAAATATGTAAATATATATATATATATATGTATAGAAATGTAGTAAAATTTTTTAACGAAAACTTAAATATGTGCTTATGAGCTAAACTTTATGTGCTACGGCCTTAAAACTAGTAGTTGTTGTATTTTTTTTTTCTTCAAACTAATAAAAGTTTTGTTTTATTTGTTTATATCTAATTGTTGTAAATCAAATTTTGTTAATTCAAATTTCCAATTATGCTAATTTCGTTTATTAACTAAATACGTCATCATCAGCCAAATTGTTCAATATTTCTGCTAGTTTATCGCTTTATTTTTAGTTGGACTGTAATTCATTAAAAATATATATATTTTTTTTAACTTATATACATACATATATATGTATGTATGTATAGAGTTGGAATTGCATTTGGTTGATGAGTTGGGGAAATTACTTTGAGTGCATTGTAAGAACAATCTCGCATTCATACGATTGGTTAAGATTGCCTGAAAACAAAATACATACTGACACACACATACACACACACACACATGCACACAACATACATGAACCACATTGAACAGCGAAAAGTGTATACGAGTACAAAAGCAGTTGGAAAAAGGAAATAAACTAAAGTAGCTTCGATTTCTTGATAAGCTTTCTTAGTCCAAACTCGGCAGTTTGGAATTGAAATGCATATAATGAGCTAAGAGATCCTGACTCAGCGGTTATTTTTTAAGTGTAATAAGAGCTTTTTGAAACTTTTAAAACCGCCAATGGAAATATTCTAGGGTTTGTGCAAGTTTTTGTTTTAAATACTTTTGTGAAAAATTTCGCATGAAAGCTTTATTGAAAGCTCTTTCATTGTGAGCTTTTTTTTTAATCTGTTCATAGAATAGGAGGTTGCATAATTTTCTTTATATTTATTTTGTTGAGTTCACATACAATAAATATTAAAAAAAAAGTATAAATATAAAGTCTCGCCCACTGTTAATACTTCGAAGTTGCTTAGGTGATGTGAACAGTTGTCGTAATCTTGTATTATATAAACCTTGATGCATTTTAAAAAGATTTTCCAAATACAAATTATTTTTATTCATAATTATTTTTGTGGATCACAACTTAAGGGGTTGGTTAGAGGTAGTCGGGGCATAAAGAATTAAACTTATTTGCCAGTATAATTTTATTTTATAAAACTAAAAATATGGCATTATGGTTTTATGTTTCGAAAATGTATAGAAAAATTTTATAATATATAGTTCTCAGTGTTGACACAGTTCCAAAAGGAAAAGTACCTTTCGGTGACCATTACAAATTTCGGGAGATTAATTTTAAATTAATCGGCGAAAAAGCAAGATTTTTAATATTAATCTAGTATTTTTTATTAACTCACAAATTTTAGATATTTTGGAAATTTTTCTCAAAATTAAAAAAAAAGAAAACACGTCACTCAGGTACCAACTTTTTATGTTCTTCTAAGTTCTATTGAAACCTACTGATCCATTTTCAAAGTTACGATGGGAAAAAGTGCAGTTTTCAGCTTACTAAAGCGTCGAGTGCCGCTTGTAGTTGTCGAATAACTCGGTAAATATTTCGTCGGATTCACGCAAATTTTCCAATAATAATTTTACTTTGAGTAAATGCAAGAGGAATCTATTTTTCCCCCTTTAAATGCTGACTACTTCTAACCCTTTAAATTTTTTGAAATTCATTTTACGGAAATTTAAACTATTTCAAGCAAATAATTATAGCCTTATACTTCCAAACGATTTGAAGCCTTTGAAAGCAACTATATATATATATATATTTTTTTTTTTTAACCACGAACAGAGTTTTCAAATCAAAATACTTTCTCTTATGACTTTTTAAACTAAATCTTTATTGAAACTTCTTCATACCTTTCATGAACATAAAATGGTATATTTACTTTGGTCCGAACTACAAACATATGTGTGTAAGTACCAGAAGGAGCAGAGGAAGGCCAACGATAATTTATACCGATAATGATCAGAATGACATATGGCTGTATGTATGGCTGTGTTGAGCCATTCCCGTCTGTTTGTCTTTCTGTCGATATGCTTGAACGCCAGTTAATCTCCTTAGTTTGTGATATATTTGAGCAAGATTTAGAAATTTAGTATGCGATTGTATTTTAATATTGTATTGCTCATTTGTCGGAAGCGAGCAGAGGGCCCTCTACATAAGATAGCACCCATACAATCGATTTGTTCAGACTTGAGGTTTTGGGTCATAAATTCGTTAAGAAAACAAAAAAATTTTGTAATCTACACACTTAACTACAAATAAACATTATCACCGAAAAACATCGAAATCGAAGGATTATAGCATGAAATTTGGTAAACTCAAACAAATATTGACACTGAAAAATATCGAAATCTGCAGACTATGACTATGTCATAAAGCCCCCATACAACCGATTAAGTAATAAGTAATATAAATATATAACAAAAATGTGTTAAAAAACATATGAAAAAATATTTATATTTAATCCCAAAATGCACAATAGTCAATTTGATATGTTCATGAAAGGTATAAAGACTTCGACAGTCCAAAAAGACAGCACTTCTTCCTTGTTTTTCTAAACTCAGTTTGGAATTTTAAGATGAAGGATGAAAATCGTACCATAAAAACAGTACTTAAATAATAATTTTATGCTAATACTTTTGAAATATACAATTAATTTAATTTATATGTGCGGCAACGTACTAAATGACATTCTTTCACTACTAAAGTATTTCCTTTTTCGTACAATCTTTTATGTTTTACTGTGAAATATTTCAAAAACTTTTCAATAATGAAACACACACTTCCATACCTAATCAAAAATGCACATTTTCTCGTATACATACATACATACACACAAACAAATATACAAGCTTAGGCTGTAAAACTTCTTTTATGACATTCTCCACCGCTCACACCCTTCGCCAGCAACACAACCCAAAGTAATCTCCCATCAAAATTTTCTGTAAATCGTTCATCAAATACAACATGATAAACAATTTTGTTAAAAACTAAATTACAATTTCTTTTCCAACACTTACAACTAAATTGTTTAAATCTAAGAGAAAAAACTAAAAATTAACCGCACCGCTTAAAAGTAATTCGATTTAAATAAATTATTTTCTAGGTGAATTCGCTTAAGCTAAAATTGCTGTTGTGTTTGTGTTCATGTTCAAGTGTATATATGGATAGATATACATATGTACATATGGTACATACATACATATATGTTTATATATGTAAATTGGTAAAAAAATATACATTCATATATGTATATGTATATGGAGCATATATGTAGAATACTATTATATGATTTAATTGTAGTATGTAGGTGTGGGGATTAAATAGTAGAGTTGCATTGGAAAATGTTTTTTTTTTTTTTTGTATTTTTCTTTGCGTTCGTACGCATGTAGTACTGTTGATAGTAGTTGCAATGGGGGTGATTTCGCACATTCGAAAACATTTTTGGCGCGCGCTAAAGGTAATACCTGTAAAAAAGTATAATAAGAGAAGAGAAGAGCCCAATTTGATTTTGAGTGAATGGGAGGACGACCAACGTTGAGTATCTCGCACTTTTGCCACTGCCAACTAGCTATATTTTTGTAGAGAAGTAGTCACTGTTTGAAAAGAAGAAAAGTAGACATTTTTGTTTTGGTCTTATTTCTGTACCTAACAAAATGATAATGATTAAATTTAACGAAAAAAGTGTAAAGAAGCAAACTAAAATAGGAGGTACTTATATAAAAACAAAAAAAAAAAAACACAAAAACAAAAAACCAATAAATGAATAAAAGAAAACATAAAACAATATTGCAAAAATCCACAGAAAAAATAAAAAAGATGACAAGCAAAAAGTTTCTTTTAGTATTAATGAATGAGTGAAAATGTAGTTTCGTTTGTTTAGTTTTTTTTACTTTTTTTTTGTTTAAAAAATTATAACTTAGAACATTACATTACCGAAATATAGATTTTCGCAAGTATTTATGTATGCATGGTTGAAGCACGTTTAGGAAGTTGTACCAGAAGATACTAAAGTTGTTGTTGTTGTTGTTGAACAATATGACGTTGAACGCTTGATAGAAATTTACTGCTAAAAAGTGTTTGGTTAAGAAATTTTGAAAGAAAAAAAAAGAGTAACTAACGCGGGTAACCGATTGTTAAATGTATTACAAACAAGTAGTTCCTACTCTCAAAATGACATCGGCATGGGCCGAAGTGCAGTGAATGCTCAGCAATGGGTTACTTGTGAAAAAAAAACAAGCTCAAAAAATTTCATCAAGTCATAATTCTCATTTGCAAATTAACACGAAATTGAAAGGAAAAAATTCAATGAACCAAAATTAAAAATCTGAAACTAATAAGCAGTAGTAATAAATTGTTAATAAATAATAAAAAAATCTGTGGGTTTTAAAAAAAGTAAAAGGGTGTCCCAAAATTAAACATAACCACAAACAATCAATTTTTATTTATAAAATTTTAAGTTAAAAAAATTTCCTTAGCGAAAAACGAAGGCTCTCTTAAAAACACCGATAAAAAGAATATAATGATAATTAAAAGAAAATTATATTTCCTATCAAAAGATAATTTACAACAGGAATTTCGAGTAAAAGTGGCGCCAGCAATTTTTATAACCGCCCTTAGGAAATATTGTTGAGAGAAAAAAAAATATATATATTTACGCAAATTTTTTGAAATGTTAAAATTATTTTTAAATTATATATTTAATATGCAAATATTTGAATTATATTTTTTTAAAAGTATATGTATGTATGTATATTGCAGAGCACTCTATCATTTGATGAAGCATAAATATGAAATGTTGTTATAGAATCTTCTAAAAAGCGAATGTTATGCTTTATTGCTTATGGAAAAAAAACTTTTTTCAAAATAAAAATAAAATTGAGTTTTTCTAACTAAATTAATATACTATATACATGAAGCAAATATTTTAATTAATTTCTTTATTTTAATATCTCTTTGTGTAGCGTATTTTGTGCAGTTATTTTTATTTTTATTTGTCAATATTAAAATTTGGAAAAATTTTGAAAATTCCACGCTTTACATATAACACCTATGTATGTATATGCATGTATGTGAGGCTCAATTTAACATCGCAAAAGCTACATATATTTCAGTAGCAATTATATTCGAACTCATTAATTTTGCAGTAACTTTTTATACTTCATAACACTAAAGATTCTATAACAGTTTTATTGATTAATTTAGACGCGCACACATAAAAAAAGAAAGAAATAAAGAAAAAAAAAACAAAGTAAATAATTGCATAAAAGAAGGGAAAATAGTTATTTAAAAAGTAGTAGTATTACTAAAGAATTGTATTAAGAGTATTATGTAGGTATGTATTAGAGTAACTGTAAATATGTAAGTACTTTAGTACATATGTACTATTTAGGACAAGGTGGCTTATAAATATTTATATATAGTATTTATATATATATGTATATATATAGAGAGAGAAAGTGTGAGACAAATGCGATTACTAAACTATGTATTTTAGTAGTTTAAGGAAAAAAATGAATTAAAAAATTGGTTTGAAATAAGTTTTGTTTGAAATATTGTTTGTTTTGTTCTATAAACCAGTACCCTAATGTACAGTTGGTGGTGGTGGTGGTGGTGGTGAAGCATATGCAGCAGGTGTGACGAGATGACGACACGGTGACAAGGCGAGGCTAGGCGAGACGAGACGAGATGTGACGTAATGGAAGCTAAGTGTTGACGGCGGCTACCGACGACAGCAAAATAAGCAGCAACCAGCAGCAAAAAAGTTGTTGTGTACAGTGAATTGGTGTAAACAGCAAGTAAACTAGCTTTTGCCAAGTTGGAAACTGTGACAGCATAACGGTAATCATTGTTGACTGCAGTCCTCCAGCCTGTTGGCTTAACTTGTTTTTGAATATTCTCTTCTTCTCACTTGTCATATATGCAAATATATTTGCTTAGCAATGACCTTCTTTCTATCTTTCTATCCAATCATGTTGGCTCCATTTGGCATTTCTCTTTGTTTTGGTTTTTTTCTTCTCTTTTTTTTTATTGTAACGCATAAGTATATCCATTCTTTCATATAGTCTCTGTCTGTGTGAGCACTTTATTCGGATGGTGGGGTGCTGAAAGCGCTTTTGACGAAACAGCAATGTGACTTTGTAATTTTTTTCTATAGATCGCTTTAAATTTCATTTAAATTGGTTATTTTTGTTTATATAAAAGTTTGTATTTAATTTTAATTATACGCGTATATTTCAAGACATTCAAGTGTTTCGCATTTGTGCATTTGCAAAGTGACGAAGTGTTTTATTGTTATAATATTTTTTATTTTTATTTTTACTTTTAACTTTTTTTTTTTTGTTTGGCGGCATCGATCGACGCGCAACTTTTGCAATTGTCAACAGTGAAACAGCTTGAAGTTCAAATATGCATTTCTCAATATATATAGATATGTACGTATGTATCTGAATATATTTTCGCTTTTCAATTCATTTTGATATCACTCACAAATACCTAAATTGCTAAGAGAAGGAGGGAAAATAAAGTAAAAATATTTTGTGATTAGTGTTGAACAAAATCCTTTGATGAGTTAATGACTTAGCTCATTATTTTGTTTTGTTGATTTTTTTTTTTTAATTTCATCATATATTTTTTTTTTTTTTGTAATGCTTTAAATATTTTTTTTAATGTCTTTAATTTTTTTTTTTGTAATTTCTTTTAATTTTTTTTTTTGTAATTTCTTTTAATTTTTTTTTTTTGAATTTCTTTTAATAATTTTTCTCTCCGATCACAGAAAATTTGAATTTTATTTACTTATTTAACTTTTTTTAAGTGTATTTTTACTCTTCGTTTAACCATTTTAAAGGTCAACACTTTTCAGTTTACTTCTTTACTTTTTAAGTGATTAAATCTTCTAATCACAGTTGTAATCAAGCCAATAAAACATGGAAACGTTGAATAGCTGCCTATCAAATAAAACTCGGGTCCTGTTTAAAAAAAAAAAAAGCTGTATAATATTTTCATTATTGTCGTTGCTTGTTTGTTGAAAAATCAAGTTTTCCACATCTCTGAAAATCCAATTCGTTACCGTTGATAATTTTTCTCTTGCAAGTATTCAACTACAATTTGAAATTGTATACAAATGATAGTGAAAGCAACTGCAAATCAAGTGAATATTTTGCAGAAATTGAGCACTACGCTGAGTTTTTATTTATTTTTATTTGTTGAGTATTTGCAATTCTGTGGGAGAACACAATATAATTTTTTTTTCTTTTTTTATATATGTCTATATATTTTTTTCTCTTTGAATGCTGTGATTTGCTGCATCGTTGGCGGTCTACCGCCTGCCAAATATAACCAAGAAAACTCTGCTCCATCTTTCATTCATCACACATTCACACCAACAAATCGCGCTTAATATAGCGGTATTCTTTTTTTTATACATCTAACACGCTAGAAAATTGTTTACCGACTTTTCAGCATAACAAACAAAAGCTAGGTTTGTGATATTTGAGTAAATCGACTACCGGAAAATAGAAAAGCATCGACGTTGTAGCAGTGAATGGAATTATGAACGGTGTGTAAAAACATCTATCTGCTTCTGATCTGCTGTACTTGCACATAGTCAAGTGTCGCTTGCAAGTTGATATTGCATTGTAGTGGTGGTAGTGTGGTGGTGGTGGTAGTAGTAGTAGTAGTAGTAGTAGTAGTAGTAGTAAGACGAGTTCGGGATATCCTCAGTTGAATGAAAAAGATAAAATCCCAAAATCTGTGCATAACTATTACTTTGGCATACCTTTTAGGGCTGCGGTAGCAATTGCTGTTTGGTTGTTGTATACTTAATTTTTATAATAATATTGTATTTGTAATTTAACGCTTAAAAATATGATTTTGATTTTGTCGTTGAACTTAGAAATTAAGTAAAATTTATGCGATATTTCAATTTTTTTTTTAAATATTCATTCCATTTTTATATATTTAGTGTAGATTTTGTGTTTTGCAAATATATAATAGATTTATTGAAAATTTATGTTCTGACCGCACGCTACTTTTTCAATTTTTCAAATAAAGAAAAACCATGGAAAACAGAAGACTAGACATTCAAAAAAAAAAAAAAAAAAAAAAAAAAAAAAAAAAAAAAAAACAAAAAAAAAAAAATGAAATGCAATTTGCATGAATCAAGATCAGCGATTTAATTTAACATTTCCAAACAAATAATAAATTAAATGCGTAAAGCTAGAAATTATTGCCATATCTGTATGAAATATCGCAGTAAATTTCACGCTAGCTGGAAGAGATGTATGCAATTAATTCATTTTTACCACACCGCGGCTGCAACGGTTAAGGGTTGTATGAGAATAGGATCTTTTCATAAATAATCTGCATATAAATTACGTTTAGGTACGTACTATAATTAAAAAAAAAATACATATTCTTATACGTTTGCTGCTTCATAAAAGTTTCTTTTTTTTTTTGCCTTTTTCTCGTTTACTGTAACAACAGTACCCTCACTTTTGTAGTTATTTATATTTATATGTATGTCTGGTAGTATTTATGACGATTTATAATTTTAAAAATATATTTCTTATTTTATGCCTTATTTATATTATTAAATTTATTATTTTGCCAATTTGTACGATTTCTCATTGTTTTGTTGCGAAAAAAAAATTGTTTTTCTTTTTTACTTATTTATTTTGTATAAAATTTCTATGTCTAGCATCTAAGCCTCCTGCCTACCTACCAACCTGCCTATGCATTGAAAATACTTTCTATTCTAACCCTTCTTCATTTGCTTGTGCCTGATTACTGATTGATTTTCTTCTTCTTCATATTGTTTTCAATAAATATATTTATATTTATATTTATATATGTATATAAATATAGATTTGTATATTTAAAATCTAAATACAAAATAAACAAATAAATACCTTGTGCCGCTGATAAGCTACCATGTAATGCCGCTGTACTTAATGTTGTGGCAGCTGCTAAGGTTGTATAACTACCCTTTGGCGTATAAACGAATGTGTGTGGCTCGCTCTTTTTGCCACTGGAAATAATTACCAACTGCACTGTAACTGGTTTGAGTATATTCTGATGTATATAGGGTGGTACAACGCAGACGAGATGTGTCTGTTTGATGTGGAAAATAAAAGGAAAATATTTAAATAAATTAAGCACACACATAAAAGAATTATATATGTACTCGCATATATGTATATACTCACTTGTTGTAAATATTCCTTATCAGGCAGCACAGTTTGCTCCCACAAGGCGCCGCCCAAATGCTGACGTACAGCTAATTCTGTTGCCACATCATTTGGTGGACAACTCTCGTAGGTCTCTTGAAAGAGTACATGCGTGTCTTTGAGGAAATTCTTGCCAATAATGAAGAGTTCAAGTCCACCATCTACTGGACAGGAGTTGAGTGATTTTTTGCAAATCTCTGGTACGCCTGGTGGTTGTGCTGCAAGTAGAAATAATGAATTTTTATGTTAGGAGTTTTTTTCTGTTTTTTTTTTTTTTTTTTTTTTTTGGGTTTTAAGTAGTGAAATGTGATGTGTCTTTGTTTAGACTACGTCCAATTATAGCAATAACAATGATACTTTTCATACATTTTTAACATTTACATTTGGTACGCATCTCTTTATGGCTTGCCTGGCAATTAGGGATGAATCTTCATTTTTATTTATATTGTTTTTTATTTACATTGAAGATTTCCTTGGTTTATTTTATTTCATAATAATATTTCTTACATAATATTTCATTTTAAATTTTTCATTATTTTATCAATCATTACATACTAATTTTTCATAAAAGAGCATTTAACATATTTTAGAACATTTGGAAGTTAATGAAAGAGGTTGAGGGCCTGCTCGCAAGCGTATGCACCTAAGTCATTGAGCAAGCTTATTGTGTTTCACCATGAAAGAGTTAAAAAAAAGAGCTTTTTATTCAAGATAATTTTGTAAATCAGCAATTTTGAACTATCGTTCGCTAATTGTATTTCTCACACATCTCTACGGTAGTACCAGCAACTTTTTAAAAATAATATAAATATTATTGGATTAAGATTTTAAATACTATAAAATTTTAATTAAGGTTCTAAAATTAATTTTAATTTTTAAAATATTTTTAAATAGTTTTACATATATGCAATACAGTAATTGAGTTATTTATCTTCAACACATTCGATTTAATTTGTTTTGTAAAATAAAAATTAAATATATTAAAATATTACATCAAACCGATATAATTATTTATAAACATAAAATAAAATACAAATTTATTATTTTTCTAAAAACAGCTCATTTGCTTCATTTAAGTGTTCTCTTTTCGTTGTGTATAAAATGTACTTTCTTAGTCAGTGATTTATGTTACTTATTAAGTTATATAACTACTTACTGCAAATGATAGGATTGGAGCAGACTTGCAACATCTCCATAGTGCCATCGTCATGTGCCAATTGTGTACGAAATACCATGCGGCAACGTGTTGATTTCTTTTTGTTCTTTTGCGCCAAATGATCCGGAAATCGATGTTCGACATCAACATTGCGTTCCTACATAATAAAAAAAATAAATAAATAAGCAAAGCCTTAGTTAATAAACATTTCACTACTACTACTACCACTAGAGTTGCCCAACATACCTTTAGTATGCCAACGCAATCGCAGGTGACTGTCATATCCGACTCCGGCTTAAAATCAATCTCAATAACCATAGTGCCATCAACTTTCTTCTCATTGCATTGTGTCGAATTTTTGCCAGCCACTTTACAGGCCTGATAAAACATATGCGGTGCAACGCGTCCAATATCGGTGCCAATAAATACTTGCAATACAGCCGGCTTATTATAGCCCGCGAGACGTACAATGGGAAAACCATTGCCACTGCGATCTTTAACGGCGCCACGGCTGCCCTCAGTCTGATATCTGCAGAGATCAAAGCAAAAAAAAATTATAAATAAATAAATATGCAAAAATTTATGGTAGCAACAAAAAATGTACCTTGCACGATGCTGTTGCTCTGGTTGCGAGACAATTTCCAACTGTACACGTCCATTCGATGAAGTCACCACAGTATTTTGCGGTACTGCCGGTTGACGTTTATGGGCTACTCTAGTCATGGCGCGTGGGCCAGTAGGTATAAATCTGTAAAATAAAAGCAGAAAATAAAAAATTTTAGTACGTGCATAAAGGTGAAGTAGTAAAAATGTTTTTTTTTGTTTTTTTTTTTTTTATTGGAAAGAAAGAGATGAACATGAAGTGGCGGTGACTACTGTATCCATGGGTGTTTTTTTTTTTATTTTGTACAGAAAAACATATGACAAGATACATACGGACATATAGACACTTGCGAATACATATATACAGGTTTGGATTTTTGGAAGAAAAATGCAAAAAAAATTGTTGCCGCAAGGGATACCGTTAGTACATAAAATAGAGTAGAAAAAATTTCGATTTTTGTGTTTTTAACAAAGTTTGTTTAAAAAATACATACATACAAACATAAATCAAAAAATTTTGTATTTACAAATATAGCATAAATTGAATTTTAGTTGAGGAAAAAATTAGTCAGAGCAAAAAAAAAAAATATTCTCTTACTTTGTGGGCGACACTGTGGGCAACATCATTAGGGTTGGCGCTGCTGGTTGCGTTTGTGTTGGTGGTGGTGGTGGCGGTGCCGGTTCCACGCTTGACACCTCCAAATCTGTGCTGCTAGCGCTTGCGATTTTCCGTATAAAAGCATCTTCACTACACGCATCATCATTATCGAGTTCCACATAACTTTCAAGTTTTCTTCGCTTCACAATGGATAGCTGCTGCTGCTGCTGCTGTTGTTGTTGTTGCTCGGGTGATTGATTGAGACTATTGCCACTGAGTGATTGGCTACTCGAATCGGAATTCAAACGTTTGCGATAGTAATCATTGGAATCATCGGTGTAAAAATCTTCATAATAGTCTTCATCATCGGTAGAGTTGACAAATGGTAATTTCTTAGTGGATGTTGATCTGCTTGGACACACGCAAGCGTACATGTATTTAAGATGTGTAGTTGTTGTGGTTTTTTTTTTGTTTGATTATATTTATTTATTTATTTTTGTAGGCGTCAGTGATGTTAAAGTGTTTTTTTTTTTTAATTTTTTTTTTTTTTTTTGGGTATTAAATGGAAGTGATTAGTTTTTATGTTTGACAATAAGCTTCTTTATATTATATATAGAATTTAAAATACACACTTAATTGCTAAATTTCCGATTTAAGATTATTAAATAAAAATAAAATTAAAAGTAGTGACGCTCGATATGCCATGCTACGGTTAACTCGCTTCTGATACTGCGCATGCGTCGATGATATTTAAATAGCTTACAGGGGCGAGCTTCTACGAACCCTATGCAGTTGATGCAGGGGACTCTTCGGTGAGTATCTGTATGGTGTTTAAACCCTAAAAAATCTCTCACTAGATCTTTATATCTGTTGTGGGAATAATACTACTTTTATAGCATGGCTGTGTGGTGGCCTGCGTTGAGCAAAACGATAAACGTTGACCTTTTAAATTAAATTAAAAAAACCAGCGATGATGTTGAGGTCTCAAACATGATCCACGATCTAATATGATCAGACTCAATGGGCTTTCAAACTACAGCATCAGCTGCTGCTCGCCTAAGGGAGGCAGATCAGTGAAATAGTCAATGATATGAACCGTCAACAATACTGCCGTTCAACTCGTGTTACTAGTAACAATTATATAACGCATATCTTTCAAAGAGCAGAATAGAATGGAGCAACAACTTCGATACTCCAATCGACAGTATACAGATGAGATGTATCAAAACTTAATTAAGCTGCATGGAGCGCTAACAATGAATGCAAATATTGTACTAAACTGTTGCCGATCTCTACTTGAGATGAACAAAACGAAGAGATAACCTCTCACTCTTGGGTTCCTGGTCACAAGGATTGATAAATCTTTTCTCGATAAACTTATTAACGTAAAAAATACTTTCTCAATAGAGATAATATCTCTAAGGTTCTAAAAGATTTTGCAGAGGATTGCTTGGTAGGATGACATGCAATAAGGCTTGACAATGAGTTCATTTCACGAGATGCTGTAAAAGCTGTAAGAACTATGAAAAGCAAGAAACTGTCACTCATATCCTATTTGACTGCCCTACCTTGGGCAGAGACAGGTTCGATGTCCAGGAACTTCAAGGGACATCAAGATATCATCGAGATGGATATATATAGTGAAGCTTTGGGGTCGAATTACCTCAAAACTTAAATCCAGTTTTCCAAAATTTTCGCAGCGATCTCTTGAATGATGTTGTGTTTCATATATGACTAATGCCAAGAAGATATAAAACTAAATTTTCTATTTAAATCAATTTTATATGGATGGATGATGATCATACCAAGAAGAGAGGGATAGAAAAAGTACGACGATGGTGTAATATTCAAAAGGAACCTAGATAACCTAGATTATTTGCAAACCATAACCAAGATATGGAAGTTGTGGATCAATACGATCAGTCTATTAGCTTATATAAAATGTCCATTCAAGGAAAAAAGGGTGGTGGCCAATTTTTAGATACGAGTATTCTTTGGATTTAACATTTGGCAAAGCTTGGATGTTACACATTTTATAATACCTTACGAAGCCGACAAAACACCCCCAATGGATCGGTTGCCATTCAGACAAAACATTTTGCGAAAGTATTTGAAATCGACTTCATCCAGACAACCTTGTTCTACATCTGCAGTAGTGCGTGCCGCGTCGAAAAACAACGGGCAAAATCCTGAACGCTTTACAAACCTATTATGGTGCTTGGTTGGTCACTCTAAGTGCTCCTCAAGATGTATTTTGCGTACAAAAAACACTTTGATACAGAACACAGTTGTCCGAATATACACACATTTTTCTTTCTCTCTCTAAATGGCCAGGTAAGCGAACAACTAATTAATGATTGATTGGTCAAATACATGGGGAAAAAGTGAGAAAAACCACTAAAGTTTATCTGCAGCAATATCATAATGGTTTGTATACTTATGTACATACATATCTACATATATACATATATACGTATTTGCGTTTTTGTTGAAATTATATGGAGTCTTCGTGCAGAGAGCAAAAATAGTTTATTGTTGTTGGTCTGCCCAACATAAAATTAAACTATGTTGTATATGCTAAAAATCTGTATGTATGCATAGAGCAAAACACGTGCCGTTCGTTGGCTTATCTACAGATATAGACATATTCATAAGATAAATATAAAATATGTAAAAATAGGTAAATGCTAGATGGTTTCATAAAAAAGTGCTTTAATTTTGCCATTTTTCGCTACAAAAATATTCTTATTACAAAATTATGTAGGGAAGATATTTCCGGCACATTTAAGTAAAGTAAAGACGATTGCGGTGTTTCAAAATGAAAAAAAAAGAAAAATACTAGCATTGGTATAGAGCAGTTTCAAGAGATATTACCCTGCAGAGGTAAAATGAGATAGATCAATAAAATTTTTTCATTTTCAAAAAAGCGCATGCAAATAAATAGAATACCTTAACATATACAGTTACTCACAGAAGTATTCTGCATTTCAGCTGATTATTTTTCTGATTTACTTGATAACGTGCTTACTGATGACTACGGCTTATTACTTAGAAATTTTTTATTAAATGTCAGAAACTAAATTTTATACCACTTATAAACATGGAAAACACAAAAGAGTCGTAGTTTATAGCTAACGTAAGCATTTTGCGTGGACTACAATTTTCCAAAAAAATTTGTTTAAGGGGACCCTTGTTTTACGCAAAATATTTAAGCCATATATTTGTAGAGTATGGGCTTAAAGGGACTTTGCAATGTAATGAATATTTTTCAAATGACAGCGTCTCGAGCACACCTGTCTCACATGCGCTGCGAACTTTCAAAAAACTTTCAACGTGATTTTCTCGAAACCATGTTTTGCGCTCTAACTTCAAGCCCCGAGCTTGATCTATCCGTCCGAATAATTTTATCTACATAAACACTGTTTCAAAGTATATAGTTTTTTGTACGTCTTGAACCTATGATAAATATTGATAATTAATTATTTATATTTTTTTTTTAACATAATTGAAGTGAAAAAAGTAGTAAAAAATTTAACTTTATAATTTCAATGAGCGTTATGCAATAAATTTATTGTTAAATTCGCTTCAATTAAGGTTTAGAACATATAAATTTTCATGATCTTCAAGTAATGACAACGATTTTTGATTTCTGACTACTATAAGAGGCCTTGAGGTTGTTGGGCCATGTTTTCCGCGCAGAGGCCGACGGAAAGCGCCATTTTGTAGCCGTCATTTTGAATTTAGACTATTTTTTTGCCCTTTTAAAATCTCAAATAATAAACAAATTTAATAGTCGAAACCGGAAGTTTGTACGCCTCTTCATTCTTTCACATAAAAACTGCAAACTTTGCCTAATTTTGGCCCAATATCAGGGAAGGGTCCCCTTAAATTAATAGTCAAAGCCGGAAATTCGTACACCCTTTTATTCTCCCACAAAAAAAAAACTGCAAACTTTGCCTAATTTTTGGTCCAATTTCAGGGAAGGGTCCTCTCCTTTAATTAATTAATTTATATTTTTATATTTTAGGCCTATCGGGACCCCTCCCATCTTTCATGTAGCCCAACGTGATCTTTGCGTTAACCCAAATAAGGTGGGACTGCTTCTGTTCACTAAAAGGTATAAAGTTCCGACAATAAACCCGCCAACTTTATTTAATTAACCCTTTTCAATCATAGCAACCAAGGTAAAAGATCTGTGCGTAGTTCTGAACAACAAACTGAACTGGAAATCCAAGATAGTAGGCAGATATGTACGAGGGGATTAACAAAAGTTCGATTAGTTGGCGACTTTCAATTGCTTTTTGTTAAATCTTAATATACCAAATCCTTTGCAATTACTTTATTGGTCGAAAAAACGTAAGATAGCTGAGGATAGGTTAGACGAAATTCCAATCAACAACGCAAATAGAAATTCGCCATGGGATTCTCTTCGGGTTTGGGCGTAATTTATAGCCAATGCAAATATTCAGTGAATGTCAAATTGCATTTGGGACGATTGCATTGTCTTTAAAGACTATGAATTGGGCTTGAATGCCATGGCTGTAACGTGTATATTAAGTAATCATCTGGGATACACGAAGTAATTTGTTCGATGGGTATCACAAATTTTCAATGAGGGCCAAAAAGAGGCACGGGTGCATTTTGCTCAATTTTTCCTAAACAAATTCGAGAATGGTTAGTCCAGCAATTTCAGTAAAGTCGTTACCCGATCTAAAATCATATTGCGGTAACTGGTAACTGCAAAATGGTACACCGAAGAGCGCTTACCAAAAGTTTTCAAAAATTTGTTGGAAAACAGAAAAAATAAGGATTTGCGGCGCTACTTTTTACATCATGACAATGACCCATTCCACACTGCTGAAATAACGAGTGATTTTATTGCGATCCCTGGAATCGAAAGAATACGTCCAGCCTAATATTCCCCGAACCTTGTGATTTCTGGTTATTTCCAAAAATTAAGAAAAATTTAAAACGAAAGACCTTTCAGCGACTTAGCAGCGAGGAGATAATTAATGCGGTTACTCCTAAACTTTAGAAATTCGAAAAGCAAGATTATGAAGACTCTTTTCAGAAGTGGATCTATAGGCTTAAAAAACGCATTGAAATCAAAGACGATTATGTAGAGAAGTTAAAAAAGGTTAAAGATTACGAATAAATAAAAGAAGGAATTTTCTTCTGGTCAACTTACCGAACTTCTGTTAATGCCCTTGTATATACATACATACTAGTACAGGCAGAATACTTTTATGAGTAACTGTATGTGTAAATGAGACTAAAAATCTATAAAACAGAATCTACGATGCGGAAAACTATAAAAAAAATCACATACACATACTAAACTCCAATGCAGAGTAAACATACATACATAGTGTGTACATTAATTGCCCACATGCTCAAACAGCAACAAC